CAGATTTACTGTCCCAAGTCCCACAGTTGTCCAAAAACTTCATCCTTTGAGATTGAATTTATCGATCAACATTGTTGTCAAGAAGAAAGTAAACGTTTTCCTTAATTGTACACGGTATTTCTTTTAGAAAATGTTCTTCAGACATTATTAAATCAATTGTTTGTTCAATGTACAAAATTTTCCATTAAGCGGCGGTACCGACTGATTAAATGTCTCCCCGTTGACGTTTTCATCGACGAAAGGGTACACAGCACAGTCAACACTGTAACCATAGAGCCTTAACCTCGCCCCGGCCGGAAAAAAAGACAGACATCGTCCCATTCGTACACGGTGAACTCCTCTAAAAAGATCCCTGCTACGACTTCGTTCCATCTTTGCTGGCAGGTAACATAGCCTTCTTTTACTCTTGTACAACAACTAAGCCCCGACACCAAAGTGCAAAGCAAAATAACTCCATTTTCTGTTTCGTTTTTTATTCAGTTTCATTATTTAATCAACTCCTTTATTAGATACCCCGCTATAACTAAATGAATTTGATTAACGAAAGGCGATGCTTATAAGCCATGTAGTCGGACATCACGTTACACACATTCAAGGCATTGCCATGTGCCAGGTGTCAACTCAGACAAAAGCGTAGAGGTGGGTATTCGGTTATCCCTTGATCTTGCCTTGCCGTCAAAGAGAGCGTCAGTATACTTGGCCTTTCACTCAGCTGGGTTTCTACTCGTGACACTGTGTTACATTAAATTACGTTGTCGAGAAAGATGACCAAAGGCAGTACGTACTTGATTATGACACAATCTGTTATAAAATAAATAGTTCAACTGTTGAGCAATTCGAAATGAAAATCTTCTTTTATGACTGGTGCCATGTCGAAAACGTAGATTTCTCGACCTATCAGCCGGTCTGATTTTGAAATACCTAGATATAGATGTCCCCGGTTTCCCTTGTAATTGTTTGGGTCGTATGATCTCCTTTCTTATGTAAATGTACTATAAAATCCTTTATTAAACATATCGGTAATATGGCCAACAAGAATGTCAAGAGATTCAATACAATATTCATTCAAAAGGTTATCACTTGGACACGAGGCTTTGTTTCTATCTAAGTTTTTTTTATGGCGTCCCTAACTTCACTTATTATCTATATTTAACTTACGCTTATTGTTATTAGTTTGCTTGAATATATCACAAATAATGTTTGAAAAATTACAAATCATATTTTCAATACAGTTATGTGACAATGAAACTGCATCGTTAATAACGGAATTAAAATCTGTTAACCGGACGATAATATCCCATTTAAATTGATCGTTTAACTCCGGTTTACATTTGTGATGTGCATGTGAGCCATCATCACTTTGCTGGCTCGGACCGGCGGGATTACGTGCATTTAATGTAAAAAGTAACGGCGCATGGTCGCTAAATAAATGAAATTGACCAATTTCAAAGGAGCATAACAAATGAAAATCAGTTTCGTTCAAAAGAAGGTAGTATATTGTACTATTTGCAAGTACATGAACCTCAATGATAATCTGATCCTAATAAACCGTTAGCTATTCGCATATTTGTACATTTACAAAAATCAAGCTTTTTACCCCTCTTGCATTACACAAAGAATCTTGACAGGCCCTGCATAATGACACATCGGGAATATAATCATCATGGTCAATATAATTAACATTTCGATCACAGACAACAAAATTGGGTTTGTTTTTTACACGACAGCTCCCGTCTCCAGCAATCATTACACTGCCTTGATGCTCAAAGTGAAATTGATCATGTGCAAGAATATTAAATAAGTCTTCATCACTTAAATTGGCAGCATGAGAAACGTCAGACCAAAAAATATAAACCACACAACTATATATATCACGTTGAAAATTAAAAAGTCTTTATCTATTTTCAGCTATAAAAGTGTATCAAAATCATTTTTTACTATTGGCATTCCTTTTTTCATTGCATTTCTAATATACAAAACAATACCCCCACTATTTCTTTTGTCGCTTCTATGCCTAAACTTCCTTTCAAAAATTATAACAAGTAGAATCATTCAATTCAATTTTTGAATTTCCATCAGTCAACGATTCAGACAAAGAAATTATATAATTATCTCTGATTTTAGCAACAAAATCAATATCATTTAATTTTCCATCAGTAAGGCTATTGCACATCTGGTAAATCCTAGACCTATGCCTGCTTGTCATTGATGTACAGCGTGTCGTATGAAATCCAATCGGTTTTGCCATCCTCCTTAGCCTTCTTCATCAGGGGAACCAACCGATGGCCATTACATCTGGTGGAGACTGTTCATGAACATAAAAAGCGTGTACCTTTGAGCTCGGAGCGCCTCTTACGAACGAGTTCACGGTACTTGAAGAACGTAAATCTGCATACTATATTACCACCAACATGCCCCTCACCTTCCCTGTGGGTACCCATCCTGTGCGCACGTTCGATCCTTATGTTGTCAACAATATCCTGGGCTAACTTAAGGTTATTTACCATAAACGCCCTCAATGAAGCTCCAGTTTCTGTAGGCTTCTCAGATTTATCAGATTAATTGCATTAGTTATCTTTCAGTATGAGTAAATATATGAATGTTTGTACATTATAAATATGTACATATTATAAATATGCATTTTCTTTACTCATTTATATTATACATATAGATCTTGTATTTATATTAAATTTTGCTGTATAAATGATCCTATGTTAACATTTTAATACGCGTATTATATTCAATATTATGTAAAAGCTCTTCAGTTATGGAGGAAATAATAATAATAATAATTCATTTGAATATGTGTAAACTAGGTAATAACATATATGTACACAGCATTTACAGAACATAATCAAAATCAAATTATAAAATAAACTTGGTCGTATCATATGTTATATTATGAATATTGTCGGTATCGATTTTGTTGTTATTGTTTTTACCAAGTATAAGGAAATCAAAAAGAAATAGATGAATGCATAAAAGATTAAAACATAAAAACAAGCTCATCACTGATATCCTAAACTTCTGATAAAATTTATCACTTATCTGTTTTTATCATTTTCATTTTTTATATAATTTTCAATAACCCCCTCTCCCCCATAAACAATTAAGGGATATGAGCAACACCTGCAAGTTTTAATGTATATAACTATTATGATATTTTATTTAACCCACAAATTGTTAAAATTTCCGGTAAATTATCACGGTGTTACCAGGTTTGTAATATGACCTCTAAATAACTAGTACTGTTGTTGTACAAATTGTCCAGCCACTGTTTGATATCACCTTGTATAGTAGACAGTAAAACAGTCGAATGCACATGCGGAATGACTAGACGTTAGTTTTTACGTCAGTTCGTGTTGTGATGACGGTGTTTTGTTTTTTCACCATTCGGACTCTGACCGTGACAACGCCTATCAATTACCCACTATGAAAGATAACTTATCGATCATGATTTAACTTATATTTAATATAAATGAGAAAATTCGGGTAATTGCGTACTTGTTGTCGAAAAAACGCTTATAAAAAGAGATTGAAAAAACAAATGAGTAACAGAATGTACAACAAAAATGCAAATGATGACATTAAATTCATTAAAATCAATCATTTTTTGGGCACGGTGCATCGTTCTTTTAATTAACAAATATGAGTAACAATATAGTCTTATTATTGATGCAACAAAACTTTTAATGGCCATAGCTCTATGAAGTAGAAAAAAAGATAAAAATCCATAGCCCCCACCTAAACAAATAACAATAAGTATCACCTCTTATTATCATGATACCCATTTAACATTGATATATATTTGTACACATGTAATTACAAAATGTCACCTTGTAATCTGTGCCTCTGTTATAAAGATTATGTTGTATTTACAAAAAAAAGGTCAGAATATGCAAAAAGTAGCCCTTATTGCGTTAGTCACGCAGTAGAAATATGCCTTTAAATACTGCAAAATCAGTCATTAATTGCATATAATATGTAAATTAGTTCTTGAATTGTGAATATTTTTAATGTTCTTACAATCTAAGAACATATTTCTCAAGTTGCATTTTGTTGAAATATGTTAGCTTAATGCATGCAACTTTAAGATTACTGAGAAAAGCAAACATTGAAATACGAACGGATTCTTGGGAACTAAAACGTGTATATAAATTAAGAAATAAGTATAAAAAAATAACATCAACATGTTATGGTTAATTATAACGACGACTAATAATCAGCTGAAATTCTCCAGATTAATATTTCATCATATAGTTAAGAAAGTAACACGAAGTCATTTTGATTTGTAAAATATGTTTCAAGAATTAAATGTAAATACAAATTGACAAACAAATTTAAAAATGTTATGCCATTCTTTCTACGGAGAAAGCCTATTTCTCAAAATGATAGGAACTGGAGAGTGTGTCATCTGCGCATACATATAATACAGCTCCTCTTCTTTATGTTACAGGAATGTATATCAAGACACATATCCTGGGAATACAACAGACAACAAGACAAGAGTACATTATATTTATTGTTTATCGTATGTTGGTTACACACAACAAAGTATATTATGCTCACAAAGCAATACACTGGCCTGACGCCAATGGGTACCTCTTTATTTGTCCAAAATGTACGGGGTTATTGTAACAAAACATGTCTATGAATGCGAGATATATATCTAAATATTCTAGAATTGTTGGTCATTGAGGATATTCAAGCTGAGGCAGCAGAACTTCGGTGAATGATATTTATCTATGTCCATCAAAGTTTATTTTTCTTGAAAAAAAAAACAACAAAACAAAACAAAAACAAGAGAAAAGTCATGAAAAGGAAGCCAATCTGTTTACTCTGAATCAGGGTAATTAATGATAATCAATTAAAGTCAGAAGTGTCATTCTTCGATATAAAACACTACACATTGTCCGTTCAATTGCATGTCCAGATATGTACGTGATAATTACACGTCGTAAAAATAGCAATAAAAAAGAAAAATATAATGACCCGTCAGAGTTGCATTTCACAGGTGACATCTAAACGTTGTTGGATTTCGACGTTCATTGAATGTGAGTAGGAAAAGATTTTGTTTCGATGATTTGATTTTATTCTTATTTAATTTTGCTAAATAACTAATGAAAATATATGCCAAACTACAAACTAAGTTTTTTTTGTCGTAATTCGATTTACTTGTAAATTATAGTTTTGTTGTAATATACTTTCAACATGTGTTGTTGTTCGTCATATTACATTATAAGAAAGTGATTCCATGATTTGTAAACCTGATATTTTACAAAAACATCTATATAAGACTCCTGTTGTTTGTATTACCAGATATGTTAGGCAAATTAATTCTATACATCCGGTAATAATATAACTACATATGGTTCCATTTTGTTGGTTAGTAAAATAAGCAAATGATGCCATATTCTAATTTGCTCAATATTATAAATTAAGGAAACTTCTCCACGACATATCGCTAGTTTTCAGTATATTCAGCCATTAAATAATTCTTTATGTTACTCTCATATAATTTAACAATATATAACTGCAAATCGGCTCTTACTCGGCAGTAATTAGTGCAGCCGCTTTTTCATGAAGAAACCAGTGCTGATAGTGAAAATTGTGATTGGCATATTTTAATTAGCCAGATCAGGTGTTTCTAAAAAGGCTGATAGCACTGTAGCAATGTGAGAATACATTCAAATTTATTACATAGATAATGCACGTGGAGCTCAGCTCGCAGAGACAAATGAAAACACAGTAACTTTTTGATATCCTTTTAACTCTAAGAAAAATGTCAATTATTAATTGCTGACTGTTTATGTTTTCTAGAAAAAGTAAGCAAAACATTATTTTGTTTCATATGACAGGAATTAATTGCATTAACAATCTTAGGTATTGTTGAAAATGCATTGTTTTACATGCAAGATTAAGTAATTGGACCCCATCCTTGTTTGTACGTGACTGCTGGGGAAAAATAATGTTATGCTTAATTAAAGAGTATTTTTATCTGATATCGAGTTGTAAGAGCCGATTTGCAGTTATATGGGTAGGAGTTTGATAAGACTCCTTACGGTCGTCTTAATACGAACTCTTAACCATACATAATTGCAAATCGGCTCTTACTCGACAGTAATAAGTGTAGCCACTTTTTCATGAAGAGACCAGTGCTGATAGTGATAATTGTGATTGGCATAATTTAATTAGCCAGGTCAGGTGTTTCTAAAATAAAAAGGATGATAACACTGATGCAATTTGAGTATATATTCAAATTTATTACATAGATAATACACGTGGATTTGGTAGAGACAAATGATTACATAGTAACATAAAAATGTTTACGACTGTTTTTATTTTCTTGAAAAAGTAAGTTTCATATACATGTAATAGGAATGATCTGCATTAATAATCCAAGATATTATGAAGATGTGAATAAAATAATTACTTTGATTACATTGCTGCAGTTAGGTAATTTGACCCGATCCACCTGTAGACTTAAGGAAACATGTTTGTACATGACTGCTGGGGAAAAACAATGTTATGCTTAATTAAAGAGGTGACACTTTCTATATTTTTATCTGATATCGAGTTGTAAGAGCCGATTTGCAGTTATATGGGTAAGAGTTCGATAAGACTCCCTACGGTCGTCTTAATACGAACTCTTACCCATGCATGTCGTCTGCTTTTATGCTGATCGCCAGGTTTCTGTTAAAATCATCGCGACTTTTAATTAAAATGTTAAACAGAAAAATGTCGTTTGTGTGTACGCGTTTCATTTTTTTTTTGTCAGGTTGTTTTGTTGTGTTAAACATGCACTTTTATTATGTCAATTATGTTTTAAAGTAGAAACTTTAGATAAATTTGAAATTTCATTTCAACATTTGTCGCAACTTTATTTTCAAATATATTTGTTGTTTTTGTTCACAATTTAATCTTTATACAGGATGAAATCCTTACTAACGTTTGTAGCGTGTTTGCTGGTTGCTGCCATACAGACGGACGCACAAACTAGAAATATAGCACCACGTAAGATTCTGTTCTATTGTTTTAGGAATTTGGATAACGAGTCATAAACTACTAACTGCTTTAGACAATTTTTGTTTGAGATAAGTAAATACTTATTTTATTGTCATTCCGACTTGCGTGTTTGAAAAAAAAAATCAAGTAATCACTAATATTTAAATCTATTTTTTAATTAAAATGATATAAATTGTTTCTCCTTTTAAAATAATTTGGATACATTTATTTTGGCGTTTGCTGATCACCCAGGCGGGTTAACAGATATTTTTTAGTGAAATCTAGTATCCTAATTTGTTAAGGCTTTAATCAACATGTTCTGAGCAAACTTTATAAAATAGAAAGACATGATAACTTTAGGTCAATGCTGTATTTAACGATAACTCTCACACTGTAGAGAAAAACTTAAATGATGTCAAGTTAAAATGTTTGATCCTTCTTAGGAGTACTATAGAGTTCTTATCATCCAGTGAAAGCGTTTAACACAATCTGTTTTCCACCAATCAGAATGTAGAATAGTGCCGTCTCCTGGAAGATGCGCTGCCTCTGAAAAGAGAAGAATGTGGAGCTTTAGTAGTAAAATTGGTGCATGCGCAGAACTGTATGGTTGCTATGGAATTCGAGACAGAAATGTATTTCGGACAAGGGCGGAATGTGCACGAAGCTGTTTCATAACCGATACGAATGATCCGTCTACAAATGCCTATCTCGGTAATATATCAGTGACAATCTTATTTTCTGAAGGCATTGGCTTCATTACAAAATCGAGGAATATTCATTTTTCCGCTTGGACATATAATTGAACAATAATACATATGTTATAGCAACATAACCAGTCCAGATAGACGATCTAACTAGAAGATTACACATGTTTTCAATAAAAAATGAAACAACCTAAAGTAAATTTGCACATGAAAAGAGATTATTGTAATGTGGAATACTGCATGTGATTAATAAAAGTAAAATGTACATGTACGAGTGTATGTTGTACATTCATATGTCATAACAAACGACATGTATTCATAAAAATAAGCTTATACATGTAAAGTGTTACTTCTTTTTCTATTATTTTGAAAGACTACTGATTTGTAATATATATTTAGATTGTGAAGTGAACCCATCACCAGGATTATGTCAAGAAAGCGAGAAGAGAGCATACTACAGTTACAGCAGTAAAACAAACACATGTATACAGGTCACATTTCTTTTTTGTATATTTCTGACTTCAAATTTATCTGCATCATTCTGACCTTTCCACTCGTTTATATTGAGCTGAGATTTAATTGTTCTACAGTAAAACTACAGTAAAGGAAACATTCGTAACCATGGCCTACTGCATTTAATGTTTCTAAAGTTTTATATTGAGCATTTATTTGTAGCTGTATATGTATCCATCGTCAGGCATTGTACAAATATTTGTTATAAAGATACAAAAAAATTATATTACTTTGTAGATAAAGGAAATAGCAATTTACTAATTATTCCTTACATCTAACTATCTTTGAATTTTAGATCCACGGCTGTTACAGTCTTAGCGACCGAAATATTTTCTTGACTCGTGGACGATGTAGATCAGTTTGTATAATCAATCGACCATCTAACGGACCGCTCCCTACCATCATACCGGGAATACCGGAGACGCTCCCTGCCAGCACACCTCCGGCGGAAGTAGGATATGAAATTGCAAGAGGTAAGAAACCTTTATTTTAATTCTATTGAAGCCATATTATTACCATGAAATGTAGAATGCCATAATGTTTATTAGCTGCCAAAAGATCCCTAATGGCAACGAACAGTAATGTTTGACTTGTGATATAACCACATATTTGTTTCTTGTTTTCCAGATTGTACAGTCAACCCGTCTGCTGGTGTATGTTTACCATCACAGAAAAGGAACTTTTTTACCTACTCCAGCAAATCAGGCTCGTGTGTGCAAATCTACGGTTGCTACAGCGTCCGAGACCGTAACGTGTTCCTGTCACGTGACACGTGTCGTTCTAATTGTATAATTAGAGACACAACTGGTCCAACTCCAGAATGGAGGAGGGAAACTCGTAAGTGCTTTAAGGAATGGTTTTGATCTTGAAAATATGATAAGATATTTAACTATAAACTTTTTTTTGCCGTCAGATGAATCTTATCATATATTGACAAATTTAAATAAGAATAACCGCGAATCAATAAGTTATATAAACTTACAGATAGGTAACGATTATATTCATGCGACGTGCAAAGTCGCACCTGACGTCTTCCGTGCGAGATAACATCAACAGCCAACAATTTTTGTAGGGCATAAATCTAATGTATTTGATATAGTGGCAAAAAAATTTATAAAACGATATTCCTATCATTCTAACTTATCTAGTAATACTGTTTTCAGATTAAAATACTGGGATATACTTCCAATGACGTTGGATAACACCAACTTCAAAGCTTATCAAATTGTTACAAAATCAGTTTGTATACAGTTTAACGTGCATTCAATCATATCACGTCATGTAGCCGCATAACAATCTATTTGTCATGATTATTACAAATTATTGCAATACAATAAAATGTACATTAATTCGACACTTAATTACATGCATATATATTCCATAAAACGACGCCTAAGTGTCACATGTTTGTCAATGTAAACAACATACGAGGGTTGACGCATTTTAAAGTGTTACGTTACAGTCGGTTAGGCACAGTAACTAAATAATTATTCTATCGTAAAAATCATTTTTGTTACCTTCATATATCTTGATTAATTCGTAGATATTAGATATTTACTGGTGTAATATTATACACAAATAAACCATATTTGCATTTCAAAACAACAAAAATATGTTTTTCATTGAAAGATTACCGTTAGCAGTATTAATCATTGCCCGACATGCCCTAGATGTCATATAAGTTCTATCAAATGTTTGGTATAGCAGATGAATCATTAAAGGCCCATTGTGTCCCAGTTTTATGTTTCTTTCTGAAAAGCTTACTATTTTAGATGACCTGTTTTTGTTTCCAAAAAGTTACTCATTCGCAAATTAATAGAACTATGTTTCGCTTTTAAGGTTTTTTTTTTGAAAATTAATGCAGTTATCGTAATTTAGAATTTTAGTAGTTTGTATGGAAGTCAAAATACTACTTTGTTTTCATTTTGCAACTTTTATGATAAATAATTTCTTATACAGTGCTACTGTATTCATGTGATAATCATCTATCATGCTCTAGAAATATATTTAGACATAATGAAATTCATATTTGCCCGTTCTAAAGATTGACAAAGTTGTTTATTTTTTAGGCAAAGTGTGCCTTTAAACAAAATATAGATCATATTATAAATTACTAGTACAGGGGAATATGCTAAAATGACCCTGTTACATAGATAATGTTAGAATGATTTTTCTGCTATTTCATATCGTTTAAACACAATCATTTTCATTGGTTTGCTTCACAGATAGCATAGAATTGCTTTGTTTTACAACAGATGCTAAGTCTGTTTTAGATATTATTCGTTTGTATTTCCAATTATATTGATACAATTTCAATTCTTTTTTTTGCGGTTTAATAATAAAGGAAAGAAAACTCTTTAGCCAGCATAAACATGTGCTCAAATTGAAATTTATCCTTATCGTTTTAACTGCAATGTTATGATAAAAGCAATGTAATAGGGACGCGGTGCTATATTGCATGCTTGTGTTTAAATGAATCTTATATTTTATTAACTTTTATTCTCATACAGCTCATAATGTCATATAGTTATATAAATGTATTATCAACTCTAGAATGTTACATAAACCCATCACCTGGTCGGTGTAACCCTAGTGACAGACAGTCTATGTGGAGTTTCAGCACAAAAACAAATGATTGCCAGCAAATATTTGGTTGCTACAGTGTACGAGATAGGAACGTGTTCAGGACTTTAAACAACTGCAGAGATAAATGTGTTGGTAACAAGAACGATGTTACTCCACCACCCATAGATCTTAATATAAAAATTGCTTTAGGTAAAACTTGTTTTATTATGATTAAATATACAATTGTAAGAAATTGTTTTTTTCATTTCTAAAGCATTCAGCCAGATATTTTTATTATCATAATTCTGGTATGCTAGGAATGCTTAGAATAGACGACAAATACGTGTAATGAGACACCGAAACAGACATAGTTGGATTTTCCTATATAGACTTAAGACACTGTGGGTATCTCTATGAAGAAAAAGCGAGGTCGCATATAAGTAAAGTGTATATGCATTTTCATATAAGTTATAAATAATAATTTATTAGCAATTGATTTTATACACTTTTTCAAAGGGAAATATTTTACTTGCGGATGTAAATTTTTCATCAATGCAGGCTAGTTTTCTCAAAATCAACACTAATTAACAAAAGGAAACATGCCGAATATGGATTGCTTGTGTGAAATTGCATTTATTCACACGAAACATTTTATACTTACATTTTTGGCATCAAACAAACCATAGCTAATACATGTCATGCCAGCATGCATTCATAAACGGGCGGATAATGGGAAAATTATTAAAATTCTGGACAAAGTTTTGCCCCATGACTATGAATCGTACTTTATGATCTTTGCGAGTTAAGCAAATATATGTGTGGTTTATACCGTGATTTCATAAGCAATCGTTTTTGAGAGATACTTTTGTAACACGTGTATTACATTTCGAATTTATCTAATTGAACAGAACAACAGTGAGCTTGCTTCGGAGAACATGATTGATTGCTAATTATACCATAAATTGTATACATTCATTTTCATTGATTCATATTTTAATATGCTTTCCATGAAAAACAAACAACAACAAAAAACAAAACAAATAAAAGCAAAAAACAATTATGTCATATCATATTGAGAGTTGAAATTGTTTATAGTATATATTTATCGCAAGACAAAAACTCAACACGATGACATTATGTATAAACCTAGTAAAATAGTTAACTTTTATTTTTCATTTTACATCAGAATGTCGAATCAATCCTTCACCTGGAATTTGTGCAGACAGGGAAAAGAAACGTTTTTTCAGTTATTCGAGTAAGACCGGAGACTGTGACGAGATTTACGGCTGTTATTCTATCAGGGACCGTAACGTGTATCTTACAAAACCTGGTTGTAGACGGAGCTGTTTTCTGAGCGAGGGTAGCACTCATTCCGGTGTCATGGAATCACGTGAGATAGTATTCCATTTAATTAAACATTAATTATAGAAAGAGCAAAATAATACGAATAAAAGATATTTAGTTTTGATGAATGACTCAGTTTTATTTCAGTATGGTGTACACTCACATTCGTTAAAACCAACAAATCTATAAAAAAAACATTTTTTTTTAATGAAATGGATCTACGAGTAACTAATTAAATGTAGCGGATAACAGTTTTAGATTAGAAGATATTTATTATATACTGTACAGTCAATCTTGTAGATCTTTAGATAAAATAATCTAATTTTTTAAGAGTCTAAACTGGCTTTTTTTCCTGTCTGCAGAATGTTACATAGTACCTTCACAAGGAGTGTGTCGTCCGGAAGAAAGGAGAAATTACTATACATTCACAACAAAAACCAACACGTGTGTTCGCATCTTTGGTTGCTACGGGATACGTGACAGAAACGTGTTTCTTACGCGCACCGGCTGCACACAGTCTTGTTCCGGAGATATAACAATACAGCCTGTGACACCTGCCGTTGATTTTGGAATTGTTGAGGTGGTGCCCCTCCCTGATAAATATACTATAGCACCAGGTCTGTTGTTACCCCACTATATAAATCACAATTTTATATTTCTACTATGTTCTTAAATGTAAATAAATTGGTTTTAAATATTTAGATAAAGACAATCCTATTTTCGTGTGCATAATATTGCTAAATAATACATACTGAAACATAATCGACTACTGAAATGCTTATAACCTTTTAGTCTCGGTATATATGACTTTACAAACACTGCAAGCTTCGTGGAAGGGAACATGTGTTGAAACACTATGATGTTCATTCTTGAAATACCTATCAAACCCTTAAAAGTTTGCTATATTACCATATAACTTGTTTATTACTTTAGAATGTAGAATCAATCCATCACCCGGTGTTTGTCAAGACAGCCAAAAACGTAATTTCTACACGTATAGTAGTAAGACGTCAAGTTGCGTGCGCATTTTCGGTTGTTACAACATCCGGGACAGAAATGTGTTTATGCGTCGAGAGGGATGCAGGCAAAGATGCTACCTACCTGAATCAGTAACGCCATCTGGTGGCATGGATAGACGTAAGTATATCACATACAATAAAATCCCTACTTATCATTATCCGAAGTAATGAACGCCCAACAAATACGATAAATATATCTCCTGAATTACGAAAGATATGTACCCTTAAATACGTTAATATTAAACCTACCGTCACTCGTATAAGATCTTTATAGCCGTTTCGAGACTTAATCTTCTATATTACAATGGTGTAACATTGTTATTAAACAATTTGCTTTTTTTAAATGGTGCAGCATAAATCAAGTTACGAAATATGTCATTTTTTGTTTGTTTTTTAGAATGCTACCTGAACCCAGCTCCGGGAAGGTGTCCGGACAGCGAGAGAAGAACTTATTGGAGTTATAATTCTAAAACCATGTCGTGTAGACAATTATATGGTTGCTACAGTATCAGGGATAGAAACGTTTTCTTGAGGAAGGAAGGCTGTGAGAGAACGTGTAGCAGTGGTGTGACAACACCAGAAATACCTACTCTACCACCTGTTCCAATTCGTGACGTCAGTCTTGGTAAGTGATCATTAATAATTTGTTTAGTGTTTAGAAAATTTAGTTTACAATATAGTGCATGCGCGACATTACACTTCTGTTGTTAAGGCAGTAGATTTAATATGTACTACTTTGTTCCAGAATGTCGAATTAATCCATCACCCGGTCGCTGCCGAGAACAAGACCGACGCACATACTTTACATACAGTACCAAGACACATAGATGTACGGAAATATACGGCTGTTACAGCATTAGAGACCGCAACGTCTTCCTAACACGTGAACTTTGTAGACAAGGTTGTTTTAAAACCGACAGTCCTCCAAATGTAGATGCCCGTAAGTTATCATTACTTTTATTGACAACATTTATATACCTTTTACAGTACTAGACATTTTCTAATATCACATAATGTATATAACTTGAATTAACAGCTTTTTTATACTAGTTATATCATTGTGCCGTTTTTGCCTAAAATTATAGTCTGCTTGAAAACGGACATTTTCTTTTTTTTTCTTCCTCTCTCCAATATTCCCAAATTATCCACACATTGTCGTTTTCTAAAATATAGTTGATGTTTGTTGAGATATATTGAAGTAAATATTATATAAATGTTACAGAGTGTTCAATAAATCCATCCCCTGGTAATTGTGCAGAGAATCAACGCCGTAACTACTATAGTTATAGTTCCAAAACATCTTCATGCGTACAGATATATGGCTGTTACAGTGTCAGAGATAGAAATGTATTCTTGACAAGAGCAGGCTGTCGGCGGAATTGCGTTTTACCAAAAATAACACCGACATCCGACCCCGTTGGACCTAATTCGCAGACCAACTTTGTCGATGTTAGAAACGGCGAAAGAACAAACATGGTCGATGTCAGAAATGGTGGTGGAACAAGTAATATGGTCGACGTGAGAAATGATAGAAGAATGAATAATATGGTCGATGTTAGAAATGGTGGTGCAACAAGCAATATGGTCGATGTTAGAAATGACAGAAGAACAAATATGGTCGATGTTAGAAATGATAGAAGAACAAACATGGTCGATGTTAGAAATGGTGGTGCAACAAGCAATATGGTCGACGTGAGAAATGACAGAAGAACAAATATGGTCGATGCTAGAAATGGTGGTGCAACAAGTAATATGGTCGACGTGAGAAATGACAGAAGAACAAATATGGTCGATGTTAGAAATGGTGGTGCAACAAGCAATATGGTCGACGTGAGAAATGACAGAAGAACAAATATGGTCGATGTTAGAAATGGTGGTGCAACAAGTAATATGGTCGACGTGAGAAATGACAGAAGAACAAATATGGTCGATGTGAGAACTGGTGGTGCAACAAGCAATATGGTTGACGTGAGAAATGGTGGTGGAACAAGCAATATGGTCGACGTGAGAAATGACAGAAGAACAAATATGGTCGATGTTAGAAATGGTGGTGCAACAAGCAATATGGTCGACGTGAGAAATGACAGAAGAACAAATATGGTCGATGTGAGAACTAGTGGTGCAACAAGCAATATGATCGACGTGAGAAATGGTGGTGCAACAAGTAATATGGTCGACGTGAGAAATGACAGAAGAACAAATATGGTCGATGTTAGGAATGGTGGTGCAACAAGCAATATGGTCGACGTGAGAAATGACAGAAGAACAAATATGGTCGATGTGAGAACTGGTGGTGCAACAAGCAATATGGTCGACGTGAGAAATGACAGAAGAACAAATATGGTCGATGTTAGAAATGGTGGTGCAACAAGCAATATGGTCGACGTGCGAAAAGACAAAAGAACAAATATGGTTGACGTCCGAAATGATGGTGGAGCAAGTAACATGGTTGACGTTAGAAATGGTGCAGGAACTAAAATGGTCGATGTTAGAAGTGGTGGAAGGGCGAATATGGTTGATGTAAGGACAGCAGGTAATGTGCATGATATGACTGACATAAGAAGAGGTGGTGGTCTGACAATGAATGATATTAGAAATGGAAAAACAACAATGACTGACATTAGAAGTAGCGGAAGTTCAAGTATGGTGGATGTACGAAATCCCGTTACAAATATGATCGATGTTCGACGTAATGCTGGTTCTACTATGGTCGATGTAAGAGAAAATGGTGCCAATATGGTTGACGTCAGAGGAAATCGTGTTAATATGGTTGATGTTCGAGGTAACCTCGGCTCTCCATCTAGAAACGTAGGTTCTTCGAATCTGGTTGACGTTAGAAACGAAAGGACAAACATGATTGACGTCAGAGACAAAGGAATTTCTAATATGGTAGACGTTAGACAGGGAGCATCCGGTCCATTGGTTGACATACGCGGTGATCAAGCTCAAACAAACTTGGTTGATATTCGAGGAGGGCAAAATAATGCAAACATGATTGACGTACGTGGCGGGACTGATGTAAATTTGGTCGATATCCGTGGTGGAAAAATAAATGCTGGAATGGTTGACGTTCGTGGTGGAAAAGTAAATGCTGGAATGGTTGATATCCGTGGTGGAAGAATAAATGCTGGAATAGTCGACATTCGCGGTGGACAGACAGGAAATAACATGGTCGATGTACGTGGGGCACACACCGGAAGTGACATGGTTGACGTTCGCACTGGACAAACCGGTAGTGGCATGGTTGATGTCCGTGGTGGACAAACCGGTAGTGGTATGGTTGACATTCGTGCTGCACAAACCGGTAGTGGCATGGTTGATGTCCGTGGTGGACAAACCGGTAGTGGCATGGTTGATGTCCGTGGTGGACAAACCGGTAGTGGTATGGTTGACATTCGTGCTGCACAAACCGGTAGTGGCATGGTTGATGTCCGTGGTGGACAAGCAGGAAGTAGCATGGTTGATGTCCGCGGTGGACAAACTGGAAGTGGCATGGTTGACATTCGTGCTCGACAAACCGGTAGTGGCATGGTTGATGTCCGTGGTGGACAAACCGGTAGTGGTATGGTTGATGTCCGTGGTGGACAAAGAGGTAGTGGTATGGTTGATATTCGAGCTGGACAAACCGGTAGTGGCATGGTTGATGTCCGTGGTGGACAAACAGGTAGTGGTCTGGTTGACATTCGTGCTGGACAAACCGGTAGTGGCATGGTTGATGTCCGTGGTGGCCAAACCGGAAGTGGTATGGTTGACATTCGTGCTCGACAAACCGGTAGTGGCATGGTTGATGTCCGCGGTGGACAAACTGGAAGTGGCATGGTTGACATTCGTGCTGGACAAACCGGTAGTGGCATGGTTTGATGTCCGCGGTGGACAAACCGGTAGTGGTATGGTTGACATTCGTGCTGGACAAACTGGTAGTGGCATGGTTGATGTCCGTGGTGGACAAACAGGTACTCGCATGGTTGATGTCCGTGGTGGACAAACAGGTACTCGCATGGTTGATGTCCGTGGTGGTCAAACAGGAGGAAATGGAATGGTTGACATTCGTGCTAGGCAATCTGGAAGTGGTATGGTTGACATCCGTGGTGGGCAAACAGGAAATGGCATGATTGATATTCGTGGTGGTCAAACAGGAACTGGAATGGAAGACATTCGCGGCGGACAGTCTGGTAGCAATTTCGTCGACATCCGTGGCAAACAAAACATGGTAGACATTCGAGAGGCAACAACAAACACACGGCCAAACATTAACCCGTTAGATCCACAATCATTGACCGATTTACCAATTATAAATATAGAGCCGGGAATCAGAATTGCAAGAGGTAACTACCATACATGTACAAAAATACATGTACATTGTTCATACAATAATGATTGATTGGTTATAAATTTTATCACCGGTAATTTTTCAAACAAAGTTCATTTAAACCAATTTTTTATATTTTAATTGAAAGGTTGATTTACTTTATTTACGTTTATTTATTGTATACAAACAGAAATTTTAATAACAAGCTTTAGATTGAACTTAAGTTTTACTTTCTTTCTATTAGAATGTCTAATCAATCCGACGCCCGGATTCTGTCTTGAGAATCAACGTAAGACATTCTGGACATTCAGTACAAAGACAAACAGTTGCACGAGAATCATGGGATGTTTTGATATTCATGACCGAAACACTTGGCTCACTTTACAAGGATGTAGAAATAATTGTTTTAAGAACGATAGTGCAGTGGAAGATAACAGTGGAGTCTTGCCTCTCGGTAAGTTTATTACATCCTACACTTATATGACGGTTTGAAATAAGGAACGAAATTCTCGTTATTTTGTCTAGCAAAAAATAAGAACAATAACAAAACGCTGTTGATATTAAGTCATTTAAAGAAAACATGACACAACTTTGTCTTAATCAAATGTTTAATTTATGCAGTGATTTACAGCTATGCGGAATGAAACATTTAAAGCATGCGAATAAAAAACCTAGGATTTAGATAGTTTTAATTATATTTAACGTAGAATGCCAGTTAAATCCAACACCTGGTCGGTGTCTCCCAAGTGACGAGCATACAGTGTGGGTTTACAATACAAAGCTTGGAGCATGCACGCAGATTACCGGATGTTATGATTTCCATGATCGGAACGTATGGTCGTCACGTGACAGATGTAGGACTAAATGTCGTGTAAACTCGACCATCATCGCGCCAGAAATCCCCTACGACATAGAAGGTCTCCGTATTCACCCAGGTAACAGATTCACTCAGTCTTATTATTACATAACGTAGACAATTATTAAGGAATATAAATTTAGATTGTTTTCTTATTTAACAAAACGCTAAATAAGATTAAGAATAGAAAACTAAAAGCTTAGAGGTGTATTTCAATTTACTTATCTCATTATTGTTTTACCTCTAGAATGCCACATAAATCCGTCTCCTGGAAGCTGTCTTGAACATCAGCAGAAGACGTTTTGGACGTTCAGTAGCAAAACGAGCGCATGTACGAGAATAACGGGATGTTACAACATCCGGGACAGAAACACGTGGAGGTCACGTGCAGAGTGCAGAAACAGCTGCTACGTTAACGGAACTGATGTTTCATTTGCTAAACCATTAGGTATAAAATTGAATGAAAAAGTAAACGTCACGTTGGTATTTTATTAAAACAGATATATATTAATGAGCAGGCAGACATATACATGTAAATAAGGATAAAATATAAAATAAGGCAGTTTTAAGTAATTATAAGACTGGAACATTTCTAATTGCTCAAATATGTTCCTAATTTATGTTAATTGTAATGATGGGAAAACTTTCATGTAAAAAAACACTGTCAATACATACATGTATAAGATTTACTGCAGAATAAAACATACAAATTATTTAATAACAAGAACAAATACTGGACAAGGTTTTCCCTGAATTAATGCATGTCATCAGTCATTCATTTTTGTGAGCACTCGCATAATTCTGAATGTATATTTTCATTTTATTGTATTTTATTGTTGCAGAATGTAGATTAGTTCCGTCCCCCGGACGTTGCCTGGACAGTCAAAAAAAGTCTGTATATACATATAGCGATAAATTAGGTGTTTGTGTTGAAATCACCGGTTGCTATGACTTCCATGATAGAAATGTATGGAGAACTGTGGACGCCTGTAATGAAAGATGTCACGTCAATGTTTCTGTGATTCCTGATTTATCCAACTATGATATAGCATTAGGTAATGCGTCACTTACTTCATTCTGGTTTAAAAAATTTCTTTTTTCTTTATTTTTCACGTGCGGTGTTTCTAAAAATACTTACATTAAGAATAAAGAATACGTAATATATGTTTTTATTTTTACTTTCCCATTTTGTCGATTTAGTAAATTGTAAATTTTAGATATATATACTCACTATGAAATAGGACTGGTAAAATCAAGAAATCACAGATAAAACATATTCCATTTCAAGACTGTTATGGTCATTCCCATTGTAGGTTGTCAGCTCAACCCTATACCAGGACGTTGTACTGAAAGCCAGAAAAGATCTTTCTACACTTTTAGTAAGAAGGCAGGCGGTTGTGTGGAGATCTATGGGTGTTATACCATCAATGATCGTAATGTCTGGTATACCAGAAATGGTTGCAGAAGTGGTTGTCTCATACCGAAAACAGGCTCGGGAACGCTGCCTGATGTTGCAAGAAGTAAGTTTGCTGTATTGTTAATGTTTTAATTTGTATTGAAGTTCCTAAGATATGACAGGCTAGCAAATATCTTACATAATTCTCAAATATGTGATTATCAAATGTGAATTCTTAATTGAACTCTGTTTTGGACAGGCAGTAATATTTAATTCTAGGGAGAAGGGGTATTTAGATTTTCCCTTGTCCGTCTAGCTGTGCATCAGTCCGTACGCCCGGTCTCATTATGTGTCGCACGTACCTCTAAACGTGTTTGAGCTAGAGTCAACAAATTTGACAGGAATGTTGATGAGCATGAGAAGTTGTACACCTTGGGTTATGCGTGTTGATTAATTTAGTTTTGTCAGAGGTATTGCCCTTGACTTAGTAAACATTTGCCTTTTTTCAACTTGTGTGTTGGGTAGCCAAAAAGGTATTTGATCTAGTCCTGAAACTTTACAGAAATGTTGGTTTCCGTGTGGATATATTCAGTATTTATAGAGCTATTGTCCCTGACTTAGTAAAAATTTGTGTTCAACCCAACAAAAAGAAAGTTTGCAGAGTAAGTTTATATTTATACCCATGTTAAATTTTGCATGTTATTTTAAGCTTGTTTACGACCACCGATACAAAGACCATGTATTCCTAACCAGCAGCAAGAATGGTACAGCTTCGACCTAGCCACTGGTGCATGTGAGAGAATACACGGTTGTTACCGTATACGAGACCTGAATGTCTTCTCTAGCAGACGACAATGTGAGTTAGGCTGTTACAACAGACAACCCGAGTACACAATCGGCGGGATTGCGAGAGGTAAGTATCATAATTCCATTTGAATTTTACAATTAATAAATGACTACACAAACAAAGTCTCATACCGTTTAACCTAAACTAACGGAAAGATTTTAGCCATATTGAAAAGTGGAGACTTTTGTAGTTGATTTAATGTTATTTACAAAATTGCAACAAAATCTATAATAAATAGAAAAATGGAAAAAAATACTATCGTCTGCAAAAGTCACCTGTTTTATATACAAATGTATATACAATAGGGTTATAAAATGAAATAGTTGAATACACAGCATTCACAAAACTCCTGGAATACTTATCTTTGAAAATATGGAAAAAAAATCAAAAGATGTAGCCACAATTTCATTTATAAAACTTTAGACTATTTTAATTTAGTATATCGTTAAAAAAACCTGGCTGAAATTATTCTACCAGTCGTTTATAATATACTGGATTTTTTTTCTCCTCAGAATTTAAAAAGGCGTATGGTATAATTTTGAAAAATGTAATGTTCGCTGATGATGCGCTAATATTACTAGGTGGTATTAAAAATGTCTAAATGTCTGAAAACCAAATGAATGCTTTGGAACAATTTGGGAACATATATGTTCTTAAACGTAACCAAGCATAATTGATTTTCTCTAGGAAAATGAAAATGGACTGCATAACTAAACAAGCAATTATTTTTTAACTCTGACTGCAAACTTATACACAATATAAATGATAAAAATAAGACAATATCAGGTTATTTACATTTTGAGTACAATGCTGAATTATATATTGGACGAGTACACAGCTGTGAAATCTATATTGGACGAGACGCTAGCCGAATCTAATATATGTTTTGTAACTGTGTGCGAGACGAATAGGTTCAGTATTATAGTCCACCGTTTATTATCAAAAATCTTAGAAAAAAATCATTAGATTACAGAAAAAATACAAAATCAGGTGGTTTTTTTTAAATATGATATTGAATTTAGAGTACAATATGGATTTCATTTGAACTGTTTGGACTTATTAAAGAGGTGAGATGGAGTACAATATAGATTTCATATGGACATTAATAAAAAGTATGATAAGGATTTTTCGATTGTGAAAATGGAAACGAGGCCAAAGTGATAAGATCCAATTATGATTAATATTTGAAGATCAGATGGGTGCTAATGTCGGAATTTCATTGAGTGTGAAACTGAGAAAAAGCATTTAAAAAGGCACTGAACTAATGGAAAATAAGGAATTAAACATCATAGCATATATTACAATATCAATTAAGAAGTAAGCTTAAGATTCCTTTGAATCCACCTTGGGCATCTAGACTAAAAAAATACTAAATGAGGAACATATCGGTGATTGAAAGTATTCCTTTATTTATAAACGGGTTAAAAGGAGATGTAGAGGAATTAACAAAAACATTATATTAATGATTCTTTAACGACAATCAGAACAAGTTTGTATAATTTACAGATATATATATATATAACACATCTGAAAATATATTTTAAACATTTGTACAAATGTGGAATCAGTTTTATAAAATTATTGAAATTCAATCCCAATAAAACAATGTATGATCTGGAGGACGATATTTTAGATACTTTTTAATAAAGTGTAGAATCTCCGAATCAACGCTTTATCCATTTTATTACTATGCAATTGAAGGTATTGGTCATTTATCCGCAGTTACTATATACAATGATATTGGAAGGAAGTTTTTAAATTCATTTATTGCAAAAACTTTAAAATAAATATGTGCAAACAAAATGTTTGTATGTGTTTCTATGATAATAAATTAGTCAATTTCACATATATAAGTGCAAATTGTAAACATTTTTCCCCAAAATTTGAAGAATTGAGAACCACATTCATTTAATCAACTAACTAATTGAACCTGATTTTCTCCACCTTATTAACACTGGGGGCAAACACTCAGAACCATGTACATTTATACATGAATCTTTCTTTTATTACTTATTTCCATCAAAAGGGTGTACAATTGACTACCTCCAATTATTAAAGTCATTAGTTATAAATTCATGTACATGTATTTGTACAAGTTGTACATTGTACAAAGTGAGGTCATAATTGGATGGTTCTCAAACTTTTACTGATCATTTGGATGAGGAGAATAGATTGGGTTACTCTTATTTTAAGGGTCTGAAAAACAATTAAATGAACAGTGAAAATGAGTGAAACATATTTAAGTTATAGATCTATATTCATTTATTTGAAAATGAAAATTATGTTTCTGTTTATTTGTGTTTGCAGAATGTCGACTAAACCCGACACCAGGTGTATGCCGGGTAGACGAGCGCAAATCGTTTTGGAGCTACAGCCAGAAAACCGGAACTTGCGTCGAGTTGACCGGATGTTACACCATTCGTGATAGAAACATCTGGTTAAGTAGAGATATGTGTAGAAATAATTGTATAAAACGAGAAATTGAACCTAGAAGCAACATCATTCCTAACTTTTTAGCTGGTGGATCAAATGCTGTGAATGGAATTGAAATCAATGGTATGCGTCGTGGAAGACGTGGACGTATTATTACCCGAAATATGAATAGAAACGCACCGCGGGTCAACGATATTCGAGAGATTACCGGTACAGCGGAATCTACATTAAACGGAAATACATTTGACCAAGCGTCTACTGATGTCACAGTAACAGGCGCCGGAAATACAAATGAATTTAACCAGCCGCGTGATGTCACTGTGGCACGTGACAGTCAAGGTCGAGAAGTTGTAGTTTCAGATGTTATTGTCACCAAAGTGGACACTTTCGATGTAACAATTGACCGCACTGGTCCGCTCCCGACATCTCCCACTCCCACTCCCCCACCTTTACCTATCAGTAATACACAAGACACCGGCAGAATGCCATCTAGTCGCGTTGTTGCTAACTTGTTTATGCTAAACGCTGTTGAATAGTAGTTATACATTTTCGTTTCTATATATATGCTGTTAAATACCACAGATATGATTGTATATTGTATTTATACTGCACATATATTCACTATTCATGGAGTATTACAAATATTTATACAGATGTTTAACGGAACTGTTGTACTTTAAGTACAATGTTTTGTATATCAGCCACTAATATGTTAACTTGAAGTATATTGAACATTAACAGTTACTGATTTATATATAACATTTTCAAGGTAATTGTGTATACTTAAGTATCATTGAATATGTATAATATTATGTCAAAAACGTGTTTCTAATTTTTAATGTGATGATATTTAAGAATAAATAACATGGTAATTTTCGTTAAAGAATGCTATACGACACGTAGAGCTAGAACATTTTATATACAACAATATAAGGCATTATAGGCTCGTCCGTATTGCAATCAAAATTAAATTTCTCATGAATTTAAAAAATATTTAACAAAATCCAGACTGTCTTTCGTTTGCACATTACTTGACAAAACGCCATTGTTAAATTGACTGGTAAACGGCTGATACAATAAACGTTTTATGAGACCAGCATATGAATTTCGATATTTCGGAAAATCTAAAAATATTTGCATTTATATCATGCAGATAACGAAAGAGAAAAAAGATAGTTATTGCATAATGATCAGCTATTTTTGTGTAAAATGAACATTATCTTATTACAAAAGTAATTATATTATACTTTATGTACAAGTTGTATTTTCTGTTGCCACATAACATAATGTTGACTAATTGGAGTTAAGACTGTTCCACTGGGAAGACGGACAAAACCCCACCAGTTAAAACCCCACCACTCAAAATTTTATAGAGTGGACAAAACCCCACCACTAAATTTTATAGAGTGGATAAAACCCCACCACTAAATTTTACAGAGTGGACAAAACCCCACCACATCACATCCAAATCCCTAAAGAACAAAACATGATAATTATAGCATATGGCATTTATTTCAATAGCAATATAATACAATGAATGAGATTATACAAACAATTTATCAACATCAAAGAGTAGTCATTTATTTGAGACTGTGCCACATTTATGACCTTGAATTATTGAATATTATTAGTTTCTTCAAATTCATTTCTTATTTATATAAAAAATAAGCTTCTTACTATTAATCAAGAATATAGCACATTTTCATTAATTAATGATTAAAATAGCACATTTTGTATAGCACATTTCTAGTTTATTCAGTTGAGTCTATTTTCCTTCATTGTACTTAGTTTAAGCGGATACAGTGGCCAATAGCCTGAAGAAACTCAGGTACTGTCTTCTCCTTATTGATGAGTTGTTCACTCATTCTTTTGAGTTTCTGCTGATGCACAATTGTTTGTTTTTTAACATGTTTACAAGAAAGTTTTGTCACTCTATAAAACTAAAGTGGTGGTGTTTTGTCCACTCTGTAGAATTTAGTGGTGGGGTTTTGTCCACTCTATAAAATTTAGTGGTGGGGTTTTGTCCACTCTATAAAATTTTGAGTGGTGGGGTTTTAACTGGTGGGGTTTTGTCCTACATTCGTTCCACTGTATCACGTGACTAAATAAAGACCAAATTAATGTGCATTTTCCCTGTAGTCGTACATGTGTGTGCGATAATCATTGATGCTTCTTGTATATACTTTGTACATGTATGCATATTTTGTTAGCAATGTTTGTCTGTGTTCTTCATTAAAATGGTTTTGTTTAACTGTCTTCTAATTATTTATGTTCACGAATTATACAATCAGTTGACAATTTAATCATTTAAATGTCAATGTTCAGTCTGAAACCGAAGTCCAAATCCAGTATAACATTGCATGTGAGAAAATGTTACATCTGGGACGTTTCAAATTTAATTTTCAAAATGTTAATTTATACTGATACGACTCTTGTTTATTTTGAATTGTTCACACGTTTGAAATATTCATTACATTATTTATTATGCCCGTGCGCCCGTCCCAATTTTGTTCGGAGCATAACTGTAAAATTACTTGAACGATTTTCTTCAAAATGTTACAGTCGTATTGCAATATTCATGTAAGGTATTTATGTTTTATATACTTCCAAACAAACATGTAAGTAATTTTTCTGAACACCGATATAAGCTGCGACAAGTCAAACACACTTATGCGTATGTTACACATGCACGAAAAACATAAAATGTCAAATCATCGCGTAACAGTCATTTTATAAACGATTTCATTTTCCTGAAACGATATGTTAATAGTCATACAGAAACACTTCTCTATTAGCACTGACAGAAGCAGACAGCATATTCCTTAAAAAGTATAATAATAACGGAACATTCTATAATAAATCTGATTGATACTTGCTATTCCGAGCAATTTGCATACACCAGCAACAGCTCGTGTCAATCGTATTACGGAAGTTGAATTATGATCTTTGTTTATCAAAAATATGCATTTTCGTTCGAGTTCTAATTAAACGGCCTGACATAATTAATAATATGCGACGATGAACTGCACTTGTCTATCTGTTACTTAAAGGCTAAACTAATAAAATAATGATAATATATTTTAGCGGAGCTATACTGACAACTGGCTGTCAAGACACAATTTATCACCAAAAAATATGCATCGTGATCTTCCTTTGTTTAGCTATGAATGATTGCGAATTAATAGATTAGTTAGAGCAAGTGCTTCAATTAATGGTGAGTGTAAATATTTAGAGATGACATTTCATTTATATAAAGACTTATGTCACACCAGCATTCTTATGTTGATTAAGTTTCTACTGTATCCTTTATTGCATTAATTAAATATATATCCGAGGGCTTGAATGAATTTATCGATCTTCCATAAACTAGATACATGTATATAACTTCATTGCAGAAGTGAATCAATGACCGTAGTACGGAGATTTCAACTTAATGAATTCCCGATTTCATATGCGTGAATTTTAACTTCATGAATACGGAATTCACGATTTCAACTTCTGAACCTCACGATTTTAAATTTACGAATTCAACTTGAAATCGTGAATTCACGAGGTTGAAATCGATTTGCTCAAAAACGTTAATGTTTCATGAAGTTGAATTCAAAAAGTTGAAACCGTGAATTTGTAAAGCATCGTCGGATACCCACGATTGATAAACATGTCACATAACATGCAATCAATAAATGCCGTGGGTATCCCACGATGTTTGTGAATCCATGAAGTTGAAAAATTGAATTCGTGGAGATAATCCCGAGAATTAAAGGAAACCGGTCTTTCGTATCGTAGTGAGTTCCTTCATGTCATGCAGCTACTGCAACCTAACAACTTGGTAACGGAGGACATCTGAAAACTAATAACTACATAAAAATATACGTTTACATGTACAGGTTGTAGCAAACGAACACTAGTACCACAGGCAATTTAGGACAAAAATGTAACAATATGAATTAATGCTAAAATGTAAACTAGATCTTCTTTTTCATCCAATGAAATTGTTTGGATTCGCTTAAATAAAAACATCTTTTTCAAGTAAAATGTCTTCATATCTTTTTATATGCATTCTAGGACTATATAGTGATGATCGACTAATGAAAAGTTATATAGTTTTATCAATATTATATGTCACCTTATTTGTCTAGAGGGCAAATCGTTTATTTTAATTTAACATGGCGATTTAATTACGGAAATGATTTACAATATTAGAAATGATTAAAACTCTGTTTGTAAACATGTGATCTAATGAAAATGGCTGTATAGTAACACGTGTACAGGTTAATAGAGCTTACGGTGGATTTATGAGTGTGGACAAAATCCGCTTTAAGCTTATAATATATTAATGTATATCTGCAATTACAAGAGTACTTTATTGTACAAAATATATATTATTATTTTGATGGATTTCATTTAGAACTTTATGGTTAAGAGTGAATAAAAATTAGCCTTTTTGACAATAAAATCGGACTTTAACAAATGAAAATTATTTATAAAAATGTGTTTTAAGAGAGAAACAAAAACATGGAATTTAAGTTAAGAACTAATAGTGAATTATAAATGGAATAAGTGAATATGAAGATATGCGACACTACTTTAAACGTAACGTCTTGATAAAATATGTAAATTATTGACAATAATAGACAAGTATCCGAGATCGGTAGAAAATGAATTATAATAATATTATATCGACCTGTCAACAGATGGTCCGTCGTGTTTTATTATGATTTATACAACACATACGTATTAATATTTATATAAAAGGCAAAGTTTTCACGGCCTGATGGTTTAAAATAGAAACATTTGTTTAGCATTAAAACATCAACTTTAACACTAAAGAGAAATAAATGCAAATTTATTCGTTATCTTGGCAGTTTGATTTAATTTAATTTGTTTATTGTGACATTTTGCATTGTCGACATGTCCACTGGGACAGTGTATCAGTTTGTAGCCGGATTTTTAGTCGGTGCCGTGCTGTGCATTTGTACTTTTGGTAGATGGCAATATTCAAAGTTAAGTTGGGATATCCCAGACACAAACCAAATGGGAGTTCCCATTGAAGTACTCGAAATATCGTTTTTGACAAGAATGTTTAAAGGTTCATTGAATCATGCCAATGGAAGCCGGGACACATTCAACGGTAAAACATACCTCTAATTACTATTATATTCATAACCCAGTTGTACTAGAGGCCAATAAGTCCCAGTCAAAGTCATTAATATTTGTCTGGTCAAGAAAAGTGTAATATCGTTCTTAAAACCGCCTGGTACGTGTTCTCGGAGAGTTATCATGTTACCCATGTACATGTTCTCGGGGAGTTATCATGTTACACTGGAACATGGTCTCTGGGAGTTATCATGTTACACTGGTACATGTCCTCGGGGAGTTATCATGATACACTAGTACATGTTCTCGGGGAGTTACATGTTACACTGGTACATGTTCTCGGGGAGTTATCATGTTACACTTGTACATGTTCTCGGGGAGTTATCTTGTTACACTGGTGCATGGTCTTGGGGAGTTATTATGTTACACTGGCAAATGCCCTCGGGAAGTTATCTTGTTACACTGGTGCATGGTTTCGGGGTGTTATGTTGTTACACTGGTACATGGTCTCAGGAAGTTATCTTGTTACACTGGTACATGGTCTCAGGACGTTATCTTGTACCACTGGTACATGGTCTCAGGAAGTTATCTTGTACCACTGGTACATGGTCTCAGGATGTTATCTTGTTACACCCGTACATGGTCTCAGGAAGTTATCTTGTTACACTGGTACATGGTCTCAGGATGTTATCTTGTTACACTGGTACATGGTTTCAGGAAGTTATCTTGTTACACTGGTACATGGTCTCAGGAAGTTATCTTGTTACACTGGTACATGGTCTCAGGATGTTATCTTGTTACACTGGTACATGGTCTCAGGACGTTATCTTGTTACACTGGTACATGGTCTCAGGAAGTTATCTTGTTACACTGGTACATGGTCTCAGGACGTTATCTTGTTACACTGGTACATGGTCTCAGGATGTTATCTTGTTACACTGGTACATGGTCTCAGGAAGTTATCTTGTTACACTGGTACATGGTCTCAGGATGTTATCTTGTTACACTGGTACATGGTCTCAGGAAGTTATCTTGTTACACTGGTACATGGTCTCAGGAAGTTATCTTGTTACACTGGTACATGGTCTCAGGAAGTTATCTTGTTACACTGGTACATGGTCTCAGGAAGTTATCTTGTTACACTGGTACATGGTCTCAGGAAGTTATCTTGTTACACTGGTACATGGTCTCAGGAAGTTATGTTGTTACACTAGTACATGTTCTCGGGAAGTCATTATGTTACACTAGTACATGGTCTCAGGAAGTTATCTTGTTACACTGGTACATGGTCTCAGGAAGTTATCTTGTTACACTGGTACATGGTCTCAGGATGTTATCTTGTTACACTGGTACATGGTCTCAGGAAGTTATCTTGTTACACTGGTACATGGTCTCAGGAAGTTATCTTGTTTACACTAGTACATGGTCTCAGGAAGTTATCTTGTTACACTGGTACATGGTCTCAGGAAGTTATCTTGTTACACTGGTACATGGTCTCAGGAAGTTATCTTGTTACACTGGTACATGGTCTCAGGAAGTTATCTTGTTACACTGGTACATGGTCTCAGGAAGTTATCTTGTTACACTGGTACATGGTCTCAGGAAGTTATGTTGTTACACTAGTACATGTTCTCGGGAAGTTATTATGTTACAAGTGACTAGTGAATTAAATATGATTGTGATTGTTAATGAACCAGTTGTAATAATCCAACAATGCCATATTGTTTATAACGGTCGTATACTACACGACAAAGAAGGATCAATTAAAAAATTCAACAGTGAACGGAAGCCTTTACAATATTCGTGTTATTCTAATCATTATATTCCAACATATCAAATATTTACGCACACTAGTATGGGACCATTGTGGTAATAAGAGAAGTACTTTGTTTAATGATTAAAGTTTGATCTAATATCCGTGCTCGAGAATTAAGTATTAACTTTGTGCAGATTGTAAAACTTATAAAACATGTCAAAAGCAAATATTTCGAATCGTCTGAATTACTTGTTTATCAACGAAGAAAATATTATACATGCAAGTCATTTACACAGAACTAATATTGTTTATTATGCATTGTGACTGTGTCAAACATGTTAATAATGTTGTGTAATTTAGGGAAGAAATTCTGTAAGATTAATTTGTACGAAATAATTGTGCAACCAGCTTAAATGTGCTGACAGATGCACAAGTTTTCGTTTAACAAGCAAGTCCCCCGTGAATCCCAAAGGCATTCGCTTTCATCTTAAATGACATGATGCACAAACTTATTTTTCTTTTTGAAAATTGTACTTTATTTTATAGGTAGGCGGTTTTTAACTCGTATATTTTCTACGAGTAGATCGGCAAATCTCGTCGAATTCCGTGTCTAAAACTCTTTTAAGAAAACATTAAATTTTCAAGAATTAAGAAATGAACAATAATGATAATTTTATTAGGAATGTTTCAACCAATGAAAAAAAGGGAAGTTTCAGCCAAAGTTAAGGACAGAAAAAAAATCCAACCAATATTAAGGACGGAAAATTCCGACCAATATTAAGAACGGAAAGTTCCGACCAATTTTAAGACGGGAATTTAAAACCAATATTACCAATATTAAGAACGGGAAGTTCCGACCAATATTAAGAACCAATATCAAGAATGGGAAGTTTCAACCAATGTTAAGGGTGGGATTTTCCAACCAATATTAAGAACCTGAAGTTTCAACCAATGTTAAGACCATTATTAAGAATGAGACGTTTTAACCAATGTTAAGGACGGGAATTCCCAACCATTAATAAAAACGGGAAGTTTCAACCAATGTAAATAATTATATCTGTACAGCATAACTAAATAAATAAAACATTTCTAAAATGACTACAAACAAATCGTTTCACTACATTTCTTATTTTCCTTCTAAACCCATTAATACATGTATATCATTTTAATTTGTCACCTATACAGCAAAACGATTTGGATAAAGGAACCAATTTTCATCAAATATAATCAATGGCTGGCATGGCTATCTGAATTTTATTGTAATCACAGCCAATGTCCTGAAAAAAGGAGTGAGAGGCGGCTAAATAGCGGCAATGATTACATGTACTAGTAGTAGAATTGGGTGATATGTAAATCTGTAGATGTTTTTCTTCATTAAATTGATTTATGTCCTTTTATTTGCAGGTTATAAAATGCCGATAGATGATATGAAAAATAAAACTATGATCACGTGCATAGTACCGTTGCTTAGAGATTTTGGACACACTGACCAATTAGAATCAGGAATTGTGGTCACGTGGATTAAATCCTGTGATCACGTGGTATTTCTAAGAAATCGTACATTGTCTAGATTAGACAAAGGTATTCAACACTCATTAAAGACACTTCAGTATAGAGCACGATCTAAAATGAAAACATCTGTCAGTTATTTCTACATTCCCGAAAACATGACGGAAACGGCCGACAACAATTCGGTAATAGTCGGAGATGTTACGAAGACAGACGATAATACCAGCGAGGATATGTCGTGGTTAATGTCTCAATTTAAAGCTATCGAATTTGCATTTCATAAATATTCAGATACAAATATCTTTATTGTAACACCGAGTGTTAAAGACATAATAAAATATTTTTATAAGCATGTTAATGGACACTCAGATGACAAACAATTAGAAAGGCTACACAAATTCTTGAGAACAGACGTTTCCTTTGAACTAGCTGTGTTACCGCTGGATGAATGTCTGGTTTTAGGAAGAAAGGCAGTGTCCAAATTAATCAAAATGACCAACTTAAAACCCTGCTCTTTTAAAAACCAACGTGTGTTATTCGAGTGGGCAGAACAGTGTATTGGAAGTTAAAATTTGTATGTCGATTTTACTACAAAAATCCTAGTCTATTCAATATTTATTACTAAGCAATGCTATTTATAGTAAATTATGTCCGACTAATCAATTTAAATTATCTTATTTATATAATAAGTCTGACACTGTCTAGATTATTTTGTGACTTTTCAATGAACTGAGGAGGGCTCTAGATTTCTCGCTGATTAAGAACATTTCCGTCACGAGCAACTAGTCATATTTCATAAGAGACGGAGTCGATAGCATTCTAGCTCATATGAGCTAAACACGCTTAGTGTTAAAAATATGTTTATTAAACTTTGGACAATTTTCATTGTATTTATTGAAACCTAAACCACAAGAATTTGTAACCAACGTCCCCCGCCTCGGGGAATTTTTATACAAAGCATAAAATTGTGCCATTTCAAAAGATTGAGGTATGGATCTCAGGACTTTCAGTCCAAACTTATGATCAATGCTAGATCTGCAAATGCAACAATAAATTTATTAAAGTAAAATGAAACACAGAATTTAAAATTTATCATGTTAAGCTTTGACCTCTAAGTATGACCTATACATTGGAGGTAGGGGTGCAGGTGTTATGCATGACATATCGTCTAATTATTGTAACTATTTGTGCCAAGTATTTTCAAAATCCCTTGAACTATGAAGAAGTTATAGATCGGACACAAAAAATACCCTATAACAGACGATGTAAATCTTTGACCTCTAAGTGTGACCTTGACCTTGGAGGTAGGGACACAGGTGTTACGTATGACATATCATCTTATCATTGTGACTATTTGTGCCAAGTATTTTCAAAATCCCTTGATCTATGAAGAAGTTATGGACAGGACAGAAAATATACCATATAACAGACTGTTAACCTTTGACCTCCAAGTGTGACCTTGACCTTGGAGGTAGGGGTGCAAGTGTTGTACTTCACATATCTTCTTATAATTGTGACTATTTGTGCCTAGTTATTTTAAAATCCCGAAGAAGTTCTTGATCGGACACAAAACATACCCTAAAACAGACTTTTTTAATTTTAGACCTCTAAGTGTGACCTTGAACTTGGAGGTAGGGATGCAGGTGTTGTGCATGACACATTGTCTTATTATAGTGACTATTTGTGGCAAGTATTTACAAAATCTTTCGATCTATGAAAAAGTTATGGACCGGACACAAAATATACCCTATAACAGACTATGTTAATTTTAGACCTCCAAGTGTGACCTTGACCTTGGAGGTAGGGATGCAGGTGTTGTGCATGACACATTGTCTTATTATAGTGACTATTTGTGGCAAGTATTTACAAAATCTTTCGATCTATGAAAAAGTTATGGACCGGACACAAAATATACCCTATAACAGACTATGTCAATCTTTGACCTCCAAGAGAGACCTTGACCTTGAAGGTAGGTGACCAGTTGTTGGGCATGACACATCGTCTCATTATTGTGAACAATTGTGGCAAGTATTTATAAAATCCCTACCAAGATAAGAAAGTTATGGACCGGACACGACATATACCTACAAATATACAATGTTGACCTTGAATGAGCAAGTGCGACCTTGACCTTGGAGGTAGGGGTCTGGTTGTTGCGCATGACACATTGTCTTATTATAACAAACATTTGTGCCAAGTTATTTCAGATTCCTTTGATAAATGACAAAGTTATGGACCGGACACGAAAGTGAGACGGACGGACGGAGCCTATTCCTATATCTCCCTTTTTTCTTCGAAAAGGTGGGGGACAATAACATTAAATAGTTAATTTTCAAGGGGAGCAATGGCCTAGTGGTTGAAGTGTCTGCCTCTCATAATAAAAAAGGTAGTAATTTAAATATACTTTGTTTGCATTGTTCTATCATAATGCTGATGACAACTTAAATGATATCATTCTCCAATGAAAATTTAACAAGAGATTTCTGGAGTTCGAACCCGAGAGGCCATTGTACATGTATCCCAAATCAGTCTTATACTAGAAGAAAATATAGCAATTTTTAGTAATAACTATTTTATTTCTTGAGGTGCATAATTACCATCATGACTGGGCATAAAAATAATGAGTTGGTAGAAAAACAATTTTAGAACTTTATATACACATTATATTTGCTCCGACATTGGTCCCAAATAGAAAAACGTTATGTTAAATTTCAGCTGAGAGGAGTAGTCAAATATGAAATATTGCAAACTAACACAGGTTATTACACGTGTTATGTTATGTCCGATATATTACACAAACAGTGTAAGTAGTTTACAACATTCATGCTCATAGAAACAGACTGAAAATTCTGTTATGCATATTGTTGGTTCAAAGATTATTTGAAAAAAAAAACCAAACAAACAAAAACAAGAGGGCCATGATGGCCCTGAGGCCGCTCACCTGTATATTTTGTTTTGTTTTGTTTTGGGTTTTACGTCACATCGACACAGTATAGGTCATATCGCGACGTTCCAGCTTTACTGGTGGAGGAAAACCTCAGGTGCCCTTCCGTGCATTATTTCAGGCACGAACGGACACCTGAGTAGAACCACCGACGTTCCGTAAGCTAGCTGAATAGCTTCCTCACATGAAAGAATCCAAAGTCCCTGTCGGGATTCGAACCCACAGCGGTGAGGGGCTCACCTGTATATAGGCCCCCTGGAGCGGTGCCAGTTTAAACCCCAGGACTTTCATTTAAACAAACTTGGAAGACACCCATTAGAAGATGTTTCATGATGTTAAGGTTTTACTACACACATATAATGAAAAACAATGACCTCCGCCCCCCCCCCCCCTTTGGCATGGCCAATTTAAACCCAAGGGATTTTATTTGGACAAACTTGGTAGACACCAACAAAAAGATGTTTCTTGCTTAAAATCTAACCTCTAGCTCATTGGGTTTTTTAAAAGAAGATTTTTTGTAAGTTTTTATTATACACATATAGTTAAAAACAATGACACCTCTGGGGCGGGGCCAGTTTTAACCCCAGGGCTTTTATTTGAACAAACTTTGTAGACACTTACTAGAAGATGTTTCATTCTTAATATCTAAACTCTAGCTTTTTGGGTTTTTTCAAAGAAGATTTTTAAGTTTTTGCCATACACATATAAGGAAAATCAATGACCCCCGGGGCGGGGCCAATTTTGACCCCATGGCTTTTATTTGAACAAACTTTGTAGACACCCATTAGAACATGTTTCATGCTAAATATCTTAGCTCTAGCTCTTTGGGTTCTTTAAAAGAAGATTTTTTAAGTTTTTACTATATGCATATAGGGAAAATCAATGACCCCCTGGGGCGGGGCCAATTTTGACCCCAGGGCTTTTATTTGAACAAACTTGGTAGACACTCACTAGAAGATGTTTCATGCTTAATATCTAAACTCTAGCTATTTGGGTTTTTTCAAAAAAGATTTTTTAAGTTTTTGCTATACACATATAAGGAAAATCAATGACCCCCGGGGCGGGGCCAATTTTGACCCCAGAGCTTTTATTTGAACAAAGTTTGTAGACACCCATTAGGACATGTTTCATGCTAAATATCTTAGCTCTAGCTCTTTGGGTTCTTTAAAAGAAGATTTTTTAAGTTTTTACTATATGCATGCATATAGGGAAAATCAATGACCCCCTGGGGCGGGTCAATTTTGACCCCAGGGCTTTTATTTGAACCAATTTTGTAGACACTCACTAGAAGATGTTTCATGCTTAATATCTAAACTCTAGCTATATGGGTTTTTTAAGTTTTTGCTATACACATATAAGGAAAATCAATGACCCCCGGGGCTGGGCAAATTTTGACCCCAGGGCTTTCATGCTAAATATCTTAGCTCTAGCTCTTTGGGTTCTTTAAAAGAAGATTTTTTAAGTTTTTACTATATGCATATAGGGAAAATCAATGACCCCCTAGGGCGGGGCCAATTTTGACCCCAGGGCTTTTATTTGAACAAACTTGGTAGACACCTATTAGAACATGTTTGATGCTCAATATCTTAGCCATAGCTCTTTGAGTTCTTTATAAGAAGTTACTATATGCATACAGGGAAAATCAATGACCCCCGGGGCGGGGCCAATTTTGACCCCAGGGCTTTTATTTGTACAAACTTTGTAGACACTCACTAGAAGATGTTTCATGCTTAATATCTAAACTCTAGCTATATGGGTTTTTTCAAAGAGATTTTTAAGTTTTTGCTAAACACATATAAGGAAAATCAATGACCCCCGGGGCGGGGCCAATTTTGACCCCAGGGCTTTTATCTGAACAAACTTTGTAGACACTCACTAGAAGATATTTCATGCTTTATATCTAAACTCTAGCTATTTAGGTTTTTTCAAAGAAGATTTTTTAAGTTTTTGCTATACACATAAAAGGAAAATCAATGAACCCCTGGGGCGGGGCCAATTTTGATCATAGGGCTTTTATTTGAACAAACTTGGTAGACACATATTAGAAGATGTTTCATGCTAAATATCTTAGCTCTAGCTCTTTGGGTTCTTGAAAAGAAGATTTTTTAAGATTTTACTATATGCATAAAGGGAAAATCAATGACCCTATGGGGCGGGGCCAATTTTAGCCCAAGGGCTTTTATTTGAACAAACTTGGTAGACACTCATTAGAAGATGTTCCATGCTAAATATCTTAGCTCCAGCTCCTTGGGTTCTTTAAAAGAAGATTTTTTAAGTTTTTACTTTATGCATATAGGGAAAATCAATGACCCCCTGGGGCGGGGCCAATTTTGACCACAGGGCTTTTATTTGAACAAACTTGGTAGACACTCACTTGAAGATGTTTCATGCCAAATATCTAATCTCTAGCTCTTTGGGTTTTTTAAAAGAAGATATTTAAAGTTTTTTCTTTCGGTTGCCATGGCAACCAGAGTTCTGCATGGAATTAATTTCTTTGAACAATTTTTAAAGGTGACCACCAAAGGAACATTCCTGTGAAGTTTGGATGAAATTGGCTTAGTGGTTTATGAGGAGATATCATTTAAAGTAAAAGTTTACGGACGGACAACGGACGAAAAGCGATCACAAAAATTCAAAAACAAACAAAAACAAAACAGATTTTAAAAAAAACACCAACAAAACAAGAGTAGTGCTAGGGTGGGGCAATACACGCCTGAATGAAAATTTTGTTGAGTAATCAAAGTTATCTTTTAAGAAGGGAAGAGACCCATTCATGAAAGTTCACCAAAAATGTTTTATCTTGATTATTATAGACCAATTTACATCAGGCATGTGAGCCCCAGAGCCGAGCCAATTTTGACCTCAGGGTCATGGTTAATATTACAATGTAGAAGACTACAAATTGATGAAACATGCCAGTATCAACGCTCTGGGCTTTTATAGTTCAGGAGTAAACAATTTCAAGATTTATATGAGTCTACATAAACTAAGTTTCCCCAAGGGTGGGGACAATTTTAACCCCTGGGCCATGATTTATGTGATTTTTGTAGAGGTAAAATAAGCAATGTTAAATGCCAAATATCTAAGTTCTAGGAATGTTAGTTTCACACAATAAGATTTACATGTGTTTTCCTATGTACATGATATAAGTCTGTATCAACTAAGTGACCCCCCCCCCCCTCTGGGTGGAGCAAATATTGACCCAAGGGGAATGATTATCAGTTTTGTGGAGGTCCGTAAGGCAATGCTATATGCCAAATATCTAAGTTTGGGCAATGTAGTTTCCAAGAATAAGACTTTTTTTAATATAAATCAGATGACCCCAACGGTGAAGAAAATATTAACCTTAGGGCATGATAAAAGTAAGTTTTGTAGAGGTACAGAAGATATTCCTAAGTGCCAAATATCTAAGCTCTGGGCATTGTAGTTTCAAAGAATAATACTTAAATGTATTTCATATATTACTCCAAATAAATCAAGTGACCCATTATGCGGGTATAATTAAAATAACTTTGTAGAGGTCCACAAGGCAATGCTACATGCCAAGTTCAAAGCCTTGGGCATTGTAGTTTCACAAAATAAGACTTTAATCATAATGAGGAAGTTCTAACCTGCATATCGTCTCATAATAAGTAATATTTCTGCCTAAAAGTTTTAATTTTCTTCTAGCAGTTCAAGATACTGAGTAGACATAAAATTTTGCAATTCATATAAAATGACTAAGTGTGACCTTAGGTCAAACCTACGCTCTGCACATCATCTCTTTATGGTTAACATTTCACCCAAGTAGTTTAAATTTCCTTCTATCATTTCAAATGATACAGAGCAGACACAAAATTGCTGAAAAGAAGGGTAGGATTGCCAGGTGCATACCACTAAATGCTGTTATTTTTTCGGCTGTATAAAGAAAAACAATCAATATGAAAGTTTATTTAATTCTGTGAGAAATGTTCAAAATAAGTTTCACATGAAATGGGTTAGGGTTACAAACTTTTCCTTTAAGGAATGTTATGAACAAAAATGACTAGATACAGAAACCTATCACACTATTATACAACTCAAAATTAGTAAGATAATTCTTGTCAATGGCAGCTAAATATCAATGTTGCATTGTTTTAAGTTAATGTATTACTAGAATAATAATAGTAAAATAACTCCACCATTAATAATACTTTAGTATATTAACTTAATGCATCCTTATTATCTTACACTTTGTCACCTTAGTAAATTTTTATTAAAGTAAATATAGTAAATAACAAGATTACCCTAAAATAGCAACAAAAAAACTCAGGAAGTAAAAAACTAGGTGACCTCTTAATATATTAATTAATATATTTCAATTACAGTTTTTATTTATCATGCAAAGTTTAAAGGGCAATGTTGGTCACAAGATTAAATTTTCCCTGTTCACGTTTGTAAAAATGTAAAAATAAACTAATGGAAATGTCTTTTAACAAAAGTAAAACATCATTCTAGTTCATGTATCATTGTAAGTAAGTAACAATAAGAACAGTTATTAAAATGTTCATTACGAATTAATAATGGTTACCCAGGCAACAGATTTTGATATACATGTACATGTATATATGTTCAAATATAACCAAATTTACAAAGTCTGGAACTACATGCAGTATATCTTATGATCTGAAGGTAAAAACAATAATGGACAATAATGATAAAATAGTAAATTTTGGCTCATAATAAAATAAAGAAAACTAACACCATAAATTCATTAAAAAATCATTATAAATAATGAAGTTGAACAACATGCATGTATACATGTGTATAATATTAAAGTTGTCATGACTTTGTCAAGTATAGTAAACATTCACAAGCATCTTACAATGTTAAACATTTTACATATTCTCTGATTTTTTTATCTATTTTCAGGCTTATTCAACTAAAACATACTTAGATTAATACAACAGTTTTTAAAACTGAAACTTAAACTTACATATAACAGAATTTAAAAATATTAAAATTGTCCATTTTTATATTGGTCCATCAACCAATATTTTCCAATTTCATTGTAGGTATATAGAGGATATTTTTTTATTTTTTTTGAATATGCTATATAAGAAAATTGCAATATCTTAAAATGTGGATATTTTCTCACTGTGGTAGATATGGATTAACAATTTTTTCACAAAGATAAAACGCAGTTTCTCACTTGTTAGCATAATATAAATATTTACGTCCATTTTCATATTGGTTCTTAATATTAAATATATTACATTTAGCCATTGTTTCCTTCAACATCATAGCTGTTAATTCACTTTGGCTTGTAACATAAGGTACATGTAACTTATTATTATAATCCACTTTGGCTGATATCATAACATACATTGTGGTAACTTATTACTATAATCCACATTGGCTGATATCATAACATACATTGTGGTAACTTATTACTATAATCCACATTGGCTGGTATCATAACATACATTGTGGTAACTTATTACTATAATCCACATTGGCTGATATCATAACATACATTGTGGTAACTTATTACTATAATCCACTTTGGCTGATATCATAACATACATTGTGGTAACTTATTACTATAATCCACATTGGCTGATATCATAACATACATTGTGGTAACTTATTACTATAATCCACATTGGCTGGTATCATAACATACATTGTGGTTACTTATTATCATAATCCACATTGGCTGGTATCATAACATACATTGTGGTTACTTATTATCATAATCCACATTGGCTGGTATCATAACATACATTGTGGTAACTTATTACTATAATCCACATTGGCTGGTATCATAACATACATTGTGGTAACTTATTACTATAATCCACATTGGCTGATATCATAATGTATATTGTGGTAACTTATTACTATAATCCACTTTGGCTGATATCATAACATACATTGTGGTAACTTATTACTATAATCCACTTTGGCTGATATCATAACATACATTGTGGTAACTTATTACTATAATCCACATTGGCTGGTATCATAACATACATTGTGGTAACTTATTACTATAATCCACATTGGCTGATATCATAACATACATTGTGGTAACTTATTACTATAATCCACATTGGCTGGTATCATAACATACATTGTGGTAACTTATTACTATAATCCACATTGGCTGATATCATAACATACATTGTGGTAACTTATTACTATAATCCACATTGGCTGGTATCATAACATATATTGTGGTAACTTATTACTATAATCCACATTGGCTGGTATCATAACATATATTGTGGTAACTTATTACTATAATCCACATTGGCTGGTATCATAACATACATTGTGGTAACTTGTTATTATAATCCACAATGGCTGGTATCATAACATACATTGTGGTAACTTATTACTATAATCCACTTTGGCTGGTACCATAACATATATTGTGGTACCTTATTACTATAATCCACATTGGCTGGTATCATAACATACATTGTGGTACCTTATTATCATAATCCACATTGGCTGGTACCATAACATATATTGTGGTACTTTATTACTATAATCCACTTTGGCTGGTATCATAATGTATATTGTGGTACCTTATTACTATAATCCACTTTGGCTGGTATCATAACATATATTGTGGTAACTTATTATTATAATCCACATTGGCTGGTATCATAACATACATTGTGGTAACTTATTACTATAATCCACTTTGGCTGGTATCATAACATATACTGTGGTAACTTATTACTATAATCCACATTGGCTGGTATCATAACATACATTGTGGTAACTTATTACTATAATCCACATTGGCTGGTATCATAACATACATTGTGGTAACTTATTACTATAATCCACATTGGCTGGTATCATAACATACACTGTGGTAACTTATTATTATAATCCACTTTGGCTGGTATCATAACATATATTGTGGTAACTTATTACTATAATCCACTTTGGCTGATATCATAACATACATTGTGGTAACTTGTTACTATAATCCACATTGGCTGGTATCATAACATACATTGTGGTAACTTGTTATCATAATCCACATTGGCTGGTATCATAACATATATTGTGGTAACTTATTATTATAATTCACATTGGCTGGTATCATAACATATACTGTGGTAACTTATTATTATAATTCACATTGGCTGGTATCATAACATATATTGTGGTACCTTATTATCATAATCCACATTGGCTGGTATCATAACATACATTGTGGTAACTTATTATTATAATTCACATTGGCTGGTATCATAACGTATATTGTGGTAACTTATTATCATAATCCACATTGGCTGGTATCATAACATACATTGTGGTAACTTATTACTGTAATCCACATTGGCTGGTATCATAACATATATTGTAGTAACTTATTACTATAATCCACATTGGCTGGTATCATAACATATATTGTGGTACCTTATAACTTTAACCCACATTGGCTGGTATCATAAAGAATATTGTAGTAACTTATTATTATAATTCACATTGGCTGGTATCATAACATATATTGTGGTACCTTATTACTTTAACCCACATTGGCTGGTATCATAAAGAACATTGTGGTAACTTATTACTATAATCCACTTTGGCTGGTATCATAACATATATTGTGGTAACTTGTTACTATAATCCACATTGGCTGGTATCATAAAGAATATTGTAGTAACTTATTACTATAATCCACATTGGCTGGTATCATAAAGTATATTGTGGTAACTTGTTTCGCACTTGCCTGGTCATTATAACAAAAGTGCCGTAACATGCCACAGTTACATGAAATAACAGACCTAATATACTGCGATGCTCCCATAAATATAACTGACATATACACAAACTTCCTAATGTTGCACACGCTAATGATTTCCGCCGCTTTAATGGACAATATATCAGGTAAGCCTGAAATATATAGAAAAAAGAACAGAGTGAAATTCATCATTTTCAAGAACATTTAAATTCCTATATAATTATTTACTTATGATTATTTCTAAATTCTTGACAGATTTTTATTTAAATGTTATTTATAATCCCTTGAGAATTGCAACAGTAGTTGCACAAAGGTGAGTATTTCTTAACATGTATATATTACAAAATAAAAGTTAAACTAGAAATGAGTCCATAGGACACCGATGCCCCCACACGCTACTGTTCTGTCAATCTTATGACTCTAGGTCAAATATTTTTTGGACTACAAGTTGAAAACTAAAAATCTTTTACTATGTAAAGGGCAAGAACTTTACAAATACTGAATAAATCCACAAGCAAACCCCAAGGTGCATAAGTACACATGCTGACCAACATTCTTGTAAACTTTCAGGCCTACAAGTCAAATACTTTTTGAGCTATGCATGAACAAGTTGAAAATTGCAAATTTATACTACTGTAAGTCAAGGGCAATAACTCTAACAAAACTGAAAAAAATCCACATGCAAAGTCCCAGGTGCATAGCTTCACAGTGATGTTGATCATTATTCCTGTAAAGTTGGTTGATTCTAACTCAAGCACTCAAGGAACAAATAACACAACATAATGAAACAGTTTTTACAAAGTCAAGGGCAATATCTCTACAAATACTAAAGTAATCCACAAGCGAAACCCAAGGTGCACAACTAAATATGCTGAGAAACATTCCCGTAAGGTTTCATGGCTCTAGGTCAATCCTTTTTGAGTTACATGCGACACAAGTTGAAAATTGCAAAAAAATTCTAAGTTAAGGGCAATAACTCTAAAAATATTAAATAAATCGAGACGAAAATACCCAGGTGCACAACTACACATGCTAATCAACATTCCTGGAAAGTTTCATGACTCTATGTCAAAGCCTTTTTGAGTTACATGCGACACAAGTTGAAAATTGCAAAATTTTACCAAGTCAAAGGCAATAACTCTAAAAATACTATATAAATCCACACAAAAATACCAAGGTGCACAACTACACATGCTGATCAACATTCCTGTAAAGTTTCATGACTCTAGGTCAAATACTTTTTGAATCACGTGCGACACAAGTTGAAAACTGCAAATTTTTACTAAGTCTAGGGCAATAACTCTATAAAATACTAAATAAATCTACACGAAAATACCCAGGTGCAGAACTGCACATGCTGATCAACATTCCTGTTAAGTTTCATGACTCTAGGTCAAATACTTTTTGAGTTATGTGCGACACAAAAGAGAACGGACAGACGGAAGGATGGAAGTTCTCACAGGACAGTAATTACATGTATGTGGCTACTATATTGTTCTCTCTATTGTTCTTTTTAGCCACACAAAAGGAAATAGCCACATAAAAGCAGTACAGAACGAATGACATCAAAGAGAAAGAACAGTTACCTATTGTCCCTCTAGCCACATAATTACTGTCCTGTGAGTGCGGATGGACGGACAGATGGACAGACAAGGGTAAATCTAAATGCCCCCTCACCCCTAAAGTGGGGGCACAAAAATAATCTTGACAGGTATCTTGAATCCTGATTGCAATTAAAGTCATGCTTAAACATACATGAAGATAATAATTATGAAAGTCTCATAATTCTTCAAACAATAATTTGATTCCAAAACCAGGGCACCTTATGAGAAAAATTCTATAAAAATCTGTTTGAAATCCATCAAATAATGAATGAAGAGTTGCACACAGAATGATTGTGATTTGCCAAAAATTCTACCAGTCAATATTAGCCAAATATAAAATGGAAAATTTCATATGAATAATTATAAATGCCATGTAAATGTGGAAATGATATAATTATTTTTAATAATTTTTAAGGTTTCCAAATAGTTTCCAAATAGTGAACTGATCCCTGTAACTCGAGTACAGTAAACTCCGCATATAACGAACTCATTGGGACATTCAAAATATGTTCCTTATATCCGGAGTTCCTTGTAAGCATATAGCGAATTAGTTCCTTGTATCAGGAGTTTTTATAGCGAACAGATTTACACATAACGAACTGATTGTTAAACATCGTCCGCCATTTTTAAGAGCATTGGATTAAGAATAATTAATCATTTATTTCTTTTTTAGACACAATACCCGAGAGCGTACATTTTGGAATTGTATATGCCATACTATGGTACTCTCATGGTTAAGGTGTCTACCTCTCACTTCAGGAATCATGGAGCCCCAACTTAAAATTGTCACATTAACTTTAACAAACATGTTTATTCATGCAGTCTTAATATGCTTGAAATACTGGTAAATTCTTTAAAAAAATTGAACTTCAGAAAAAATGTTTATTAATAGTTTATGAAATGTATAAACATTCAACTTTTTATGTTTTACACAAAAAATGCTGGAATTTATTTTTTTTTATCATCAAATTACAACCCGGTAGTTATATGGGGTAAGACAAGATATGCATACTTTGACAAATTATAGGACATTTTTGTGGATAGAAAAATCTTTAAGCTTAGTTTACATAAAATTAACAGAAATCTGGAGCTGTGATAATTTAAACTAAAAATTCATAAAGTCTTATCTTAAAGCAGGTTACTCAGCACTTAATCTGATGGTTTATCATCATTAACTTACCTGATAAAACGATAAAAAAGAACAAACAAAAAATGTAGCACCAGTTTGATAATGTTCCAGGTCAAATGTCTGAAAGTAAACAATTACATTAATAATATTATACTGCCCATTTAAAATGTAAGAGAAATAAACAAAGATAATTATGCTGATTACATGTAGATATATCTGGAATATTATTCCTATTTTTGATGGAATTTTCTATCAGACAGACACAACAACATAACAACGTTCCAGTTTTACTGGTAGAGAAACAACTCAATTTCTAGTAATCATGTGAGTAGAACCACTGACCTCTTTGTAATAAAACTTCTCCAGGATTTTGGGAACATGACCTATACCTATAGAATTGGGAATTTCAGTAATGTTTTGTTAAAAATTGGGAAAAATGCAGAACTGAAATTTTGAAGTGATTAAAATGAATGTAAACAATCACTGTCTAATTTAGAGAATTCATAATGCTTAATATTCCTGAAATTTACAAAAATTATTGAAAATGCACAAAAAATATGATTCAATATTATTGGTTAAATAACTGGGATGGAAATTGCAACTTGAGCTATTGTTGATTCATATCCCTTGAAAATCATGTACATGTATTCCTAAATAGAATAAATTTGCTAAATACATTGTAAACTATAATGACTACATAGAGAAAGGAGTAAAGTGATACACACTATCTTAATTACAAAGGAAAACTTACTGCATCTATATGACTGTGTGTTTCATTCATGACATGAACTCCCCTAGAGAAGTTCAGGACGGCACAAAAACAACTTAATGTAAGGGAGATCACTCCTATAAAATGTAGTGGTAAAAACTGTGTATATGATGAAGCTGAAAGTAGAAACAATGCAAGGTGTCCATTTTGTAAACTCTCAAAATAATTACGTCAATACAATTAACATCACATTATGAAATACATGTATTAGTCAGAGAAATATATTACATGTATGTAGGTTTCCATTTTTGCGTTGAAAATCGTATCTGTATAGCTTTACAGGCACAATCAACACTTGTAAATTAAGGAAAGGAGTCTAAAACAAACTGACAGTACTGGCTTTAAAACTGAAGGTATCATTATACCAATGCTCAAATTATTCCGAAGAGGCGACGAAAAGGAAAACCAACATCAACAAAACAATGCATTACCTGTTGTAGTTTTATAATGATCTGTAGAAGATTTCTGACCATATCCTGGTCTTAGTTCTTCCTCACAGAGAACATACGGCGGTCGTAAACGTAACTCTTGGCTCAAATCTTGCAAGTTTACACGTGTACTTAGTGACCGTGGATTGTTATACTTCTGTTTTAACTTCTGCAAAGGCACATCTTCAAAAGGAATGTTATTTATAAGAAACAAATATTTATTAAGCTATCATATACATGTCTTTCTAAATATTTTCACTTGTACTCTTGAAAATTTAAAATCTTTCCCTCCTTAGTGAAATATTTTCTATATTCATCATAACATTCTTCAATGATCTGTCAGTGTTCTTTGTTAACCTACATTGGTATATTACACACATACTACAGACAGAGTCTAAGAAGAGACTGATTTTAAGCTTTCAAAATCAGTGCCATGGGCTGTATGTAAAAAATACATGTAATAGTAAGATAATAACTCAGAAAATATATATACCTATATTTAATTGTTTATAAATCTAATTAATCTAACATATTTACCAAAGTCTATAAGAGCATAAGGTCTTTGTACAGACATCACTCGTGTTTTATCAAAAAATTGTAGGAACTCTTTCTGTAGATCAGAGAGGAATGAGAATGCGAGAACTTGTGGGTAGGTTATATCGCACAATACAAGGAATGTCAGGTCCAGAGCTGTGATAAAACTAAAATAACAAGCAATTATCATAGTATTGCAAGCAATCCATAAGTCCCCTACCGGTAAGAGACCAAGCAACATTCTGAAGGGCCATTGGCCATTTACTTAGGTTCCTATTTTAAGTAAATTTGTTGAAAAAGTTCTTTAAAAGTGATCACAGGAAACAGTTTTTATGTACAGACAGACGGACTGAAGGACACTCTAAAGTTATTTTTTAAACATCCCTGTTATCAAAATATAACATTTTTAAAATCCTATCATGATTGAAGAAGTTGGAGTAAAAATTACCAATTTCTCAAAAAAAAAGTCTAAGTTCAAAAGGGGCATAATTCTGGAAATAGTCTTGCTAGAGTATTGAACACTCACAAATGTTGAGTGACAATGAGAAACATTTATATGAAGTTTGAAGTAGATACATTCAGTAAAAGAAGTTTTTTTAAAAAAAAACAATGTTTTTTTCATGAAAATTTTAAGTTCAAGGGAGGTAATTCTGATAAATTTTGTGCTAGAGTTGTAAACCTTGTCACATATGATGTGGTTGATGACAAGCAACTTATATTTAAAGTTTGAAGAAAATACCTTAAGAAATAAAGAACTTTTAGCGAAAAAACTTAAAAACTAGAATCAGAAATCTTGAAATTCAGTCTATTTGTTGCCATAGCAAGCAGAATTTTCAACATAGGAAGATAAAAAAGGATGTGCATAATTTCCATACTGCCATCTACCCATATGTCAAGTTTCAAAAACATATTTTCAGTACTTTTTGTGTTATCACTGGATCCAGGTTATGTGTAAAATTTGCCATATTTTCAGTCTATTTGTTGCCATAGCAACCAGAATTTTCAACATAGGAAGAAAAGAAAAAGACGTGCATAATCTCCATACTGCCATCTATCCATATATCAAGTTTCATAAAAATATTTTCAGTACTTTTTGCGTTATCGCGGGATCCAGGTTATGTGTAAAATTTGCCGTATTTTCAGTCTATTTGTTGCCATAGCAACCAGAATTTTCAACATAGGAAGAAAAGAAAAAGACGTGCATAATCTCCATACCGCCATCTATCCATATATCAAGTTTCATTAAAATATTTTCAGTACTTTTTGCGTTATCGTGGGATCCAGTTTTGTGGACGGACGGACTGACGGACGGACAGACGGACTGACGGACGGACAGACAGACGGACGGACAGACAGACGGACGGAGGGTAAACCTAAAGTCCCCTCCGGTAAACCGGTAGGGGACTAAAAATATGTATATAATTATGATATGTAATGTGTTAATGTTAGAATATAATTATAGTTTTATATTTAGTTTTGTGATTACTTTCATTATAAGCTATATAACACAAACATCTTTTCAGTTTTTACCATTATAAGTTTTTTATTCAGTATAATACTGACATATTTCTGAGTAACCTATTTAAGCATATAAAGTCATATAAAGTTGTATGTAATTAGAAGAATGTTTGTTTGTATCTGGATGATGTTACTTTCTGTCCAGAGAAACTTTCTGAACTGTTTTAAAACTGCCTAAAAATGAAAAATGACTCCTTTAGCTGTAAAAATATTCTTATTTTAGATACAATGTATGTTATAAATTGTGTAGACTCAATACTAAATTTAATGAACTGGTTGAAAAAAAACAACAAACAATATTATGCTTGCCAAAGACTCGCATATGATTTTATTCAACTTGTTCAATAAATTTAGTATTAAATCTAGATTCATTCAATATCCTTTGTGTGTTTAATATGATTACCTACAGTAAAAACATTATTATAATTTTATTGTATCATTATTATTTTTTTTAAACTGCACAGAAAATTTCGAATATAATAACAAATTTAAAAAATCTTCTTTCTCAAACATCACAATGCATAAATCTATTTACATCGTGTATTATTTTCATAGAATTTTATCCAATCATTCATGAAAATATTCATGTATACACAATGTATATATTTGCTAATAATTTTTTTATTTGCAGTAACTTACAAAATGATAAGAAATGTCTTACTGAATAACATATGAATTACAAGGCAGAGAACATCTATCTTCAAATCGTGCCGATATACGAGACAACAGTTTCATCTTTCTGTATGCATCTTCCAGGCCTGGATGGGCTGACATCTGTGGACTATCAGAGTTTGCGGCCAGTGCCAGTCCATCAGTGCTACGACTTACTATAGCAAAGTATATCATGCTTACTTATAAATCATTTCCCTGTAAAAACAAATGTAACAGTGACAGTCATTTTCTCTTAAACTAAAAACAAAGCTGTAAGAATAATTTATGTTTTAATACTATGCAGGGCTGCAAATCAGGCCAAAGTAAATCAATAAACTGTAAAAAAAATTGTATCTATAGATACAAATGGGAAAACAGTAATGATATCCCTTGATATTTTGTACATAAATAAAACAAAAGTAAAACTTTATTAAAGGAGCTCCACTGAGGAAAAAACATTTTTTGTGCAATTTTAATGAAAAGTGTGGCAAAGGTTTTCAGTCTCTCAGTCATTTTGTACAAACAAGAGGGCCATGATAGCCCTCAATTGCTCACCTAAGATACATTGATACAAAAGTCAAAATGTCAGTAATGAGGACATTGGGATTGTCATTTTTTACCAAAGCATCTTATACGGGGAAGTCAAAGACCGGGCCCGCGAAGCGGGTCCGGGCTTTGGCTTGCCCGTCTATAGACTACACGTGTATATTCAAAAGAAAATCAAATAAAAAACAATTAAAAAATATATAGAATTCTATACCTATCAAAGAAATTTTCAGTGTCAGTTCTAGTCGGGCGCCGCCATTTACAATGTAACTCAATGATAATAGGCGGGGTATTCCGATAACGGAACAAATCTCAACTTTTCGGATTAATAATAATCGTCGAGTGTTCCGAGTGAAAACGGAAGCGGTGCATGTAATACCCAATGACACCTTTAAAACGGAAAGAATGAAAGGGTTTTTTTAACGACTTCCCCGTTCATAGGCTTTGCCTCAAATTTCATATTATTTCTAACAAATAAGCCTGCTAATTGGTCAGAGTAGACTAAGTAACACCTTCAAATAGGACCAGAGTGTAGTACTAAAAGACCTTGGTACGAGATAGGTAGAGTATGTGAGTATATGTTTCATAATCTTTGATTGGATGTGACCCATGACCTGATGACAGAAAAGGGCCCAAAGCCAAAGTGAAACTTTGCAAAGCTCTGTGTTATTCCTCTACAAGCTGCCATTGGTGCTGTACACAACATTGAATAGGTGAAACTAATCCGTCCATTATCAAGACATATTAGTGTATCCGGATCTGATATCTTGATTTTATCAAAGTAGGTAAGTCATTTACTTTATCTTGCAAGATTCAACAGCAGAAACTAAAAATTCAATTATTATTGATATCGCGAAAACCAGTAACCACACTATAAAATAGGCGATTCCTAACATATTTTATCACAAAAACATATAAGAATCCATTAACTTCTCAAAAACATTTCATTCAATGTGAAAACATAAAGTTATTTACCATGGACATGTAAGAATTAAGTCAAAAGCTATGGAAGAAAGTTCTACAAAATTTTGACAAGTAGCAAATTTTACGACTATTGTAAAACAAAACATGAAATCAAGAGTTCCTACAATGAGACAATAGAAGACAAAGCATTGCTCAAATTAATATGAACGTTATCATTTTTCATTCGGAAAATATTTAACATATGTTTACTTTTACGACATTTGCAAGCGGTGTCAGTGCTAATTGTTACTGATGCAGTTGTTCCGAAAATCGGTTTCAGCATTTCGGGTACTCTTCGGCGGAAACATACGTAAGTAATGACTTTTTTGTTGCAGTGATACGATAAATATGCATTCCATTATAGTTTTTGCATAACTGATATTTAAAATGAGTATGTCATAGAAGATAAAACGATTTGAAGTATGTTCTTAGTGAGTGAAGGAGGTAAGTTTCTACCCGTATCTTTAGTCCTAGGTTATACATGTGTTCTAGATCTTGTTCTGTCTGCTGGTCAAATTGTTCTAGATTATGTTCTATCTACTTGTTATTTACATATTTATTGTGATAGTTCCAGTGGTAAGGTAGTCCTTTTTATTTTATCCAATCATCATAGATAAAATTGATTGGTAATTGAATCTTACAATGCAAATATCTGAATATTTCAATTTTCCATTTAGATCTATCTAATATGAAATTAGGCAAAGCCTATGCACGGGGAAGTCGTTAAAAATTCCTTTCATTCTTTCCGTTTTAAAGGTGTTTTTCGGTATTACATGCACCGCTTCCGTTTTCACTAGGAACACTCGACGTTTATTATTTATACGAAAAGTTGAGATTTGTTCCGTTATCGGAATACCCCGCCTATTATCATTGAGTTACATTGTAAATGACGGCGCCCGACTAGAACTGACACTGAAAATTTTATTGATAGGTATAGAATTCTATATATTTTTTTTTAATTGTTTTTTATTTGATTTTCTTTTAAATATACATGTGTAGTCTATAGACGGGCAAGCCAAAGTCTTTGACTTCCCCGTATTATTAAATGTGTTTAATATGAAAAAGGCAAAGCCTCAAAGCAAGCTCGATTTACTTTTACCATGTCGTGAAATAGTTTAAAATAATCGTTAATTTTTATTTTACATTTTCCGTTTTAAAACTGTCTTTCAGTATTTTATACACTGCTTCCGTTTATTCCGGTTCCTGTCCTATTATGGTTCCCTTATAAGTGCGCAGGACACCAGTCTACACTTCCGTTTTGATGTTTCTGTTTTCAATCAGAATACATCGGCTTTTATTGTTATCTTGTAATTCGAAAAGTTGCGATGTGGCGACGGGCTGGGGCGAGTATCTAAGTTCTCACAATACTCACAAAACAGTACTCTGATAATCACAAATCAAAATAAAAAATCAATTACAAATATTCGTCTGTCCAGAGATCGTGGATAGCAATCTTATTTGTTTATATACATTCACTGTTTCTCTGACTCTAAAAGTAAAAACAACAAAAACATTTCGAGTATGAATTATGCAAAGTTCCGAGAGACCACTTTTTTTCCAGATATATTTACCTTAACCCTTTACCTCATATATACGCAAAACAACGCACTTTCTACCCCTCCTATTAGGGCCCAATTAAAACACATGTTTTCGTTTGAGAAATGTTGCTAAAAAAAGTGAGCACTTTTTCGGCACCACCCCCCATCCAAAAGATACATCAGGGGGTTGCCAGAAGGGGGATGTGCCCCCTCTGTTTGGGGGGTTTGAAGGGGGCGGAGTCCCCCTCATCGCCAAGAAAATTTTGGACTTGTGAGAGGCTTAAAATGACCCCAGGTCGATCATAAGGTAATTGTAACCAACGATGAAAAGCCTTTGACTCTATCTCAATCCCTTGAGAAGTTGCAGCACTTTGAAATAAATTTTGATGGAAAAAATCGAGGCAAAATAGTGATTTTTGGCAATTTTGAGATGTCCCCTCATTGCCATGGTAACAGGAAATTTAAGACTGAGCATGTCGTTACAAAGGCAATGGTCCAGTCAACATTTGTGCCAAGTTTGATTAGTATTGAAGCATTTTTCATAGTTTCATAGAAGTTTGAACTTGTAAGAGGAGGCTTTTCAGTGAAAATGGCCATTTTTCAAAATATGCTCATGGGGGAAAGGGTTAATACAATTTGCTAATTAAAGACAGCAAGTGAAAAAACAAGTACCATGAGGCTGTCAGAGCTAGGAAGTTTCCAAAAAGGAATCACTTTATGATGAGCACTATGTTTTTACATGATAATAAATAAATATTTTAAGTCACTGTATATAGATTTATAATAACGTCGTGCAATGACTGTATTGATCAGTTTTATTTTTGATAATCCAAAACTTACGAAACTCGAGTTAATAATTACGTCAATGTGACGTCAAACATCCTGTCTGCAACAATGGCTGAAAAAAGGGTCACACCAATATGAAATTCAACCAGCAACAATTACTTCCAATGTTTGGAAATACTTAAGATTGCAATTGAAAATGAGAACAATTGCATATATGTTTAATGTTTATCATGTTTAACATGTTTTCAGAACTAATGTTCATGTTTTAACAGATGCCTTGATACCAAAAGATTTGTGGTTCATTTTGTGAATCGATCATAACTGCTGAATCGTGGATTGGATCGAATCAGCACTTATCTGATGATGCACACCCCTATTCCCTGCTCTATTATGATTGCAATAGAAGTGTGCAGGAGACCAGTCTACACATACATTTTTCAATCAGAATTCCTCGGCTTTTTTGTTATCTTGTAACTCGAAAAGTTGCAATTGATCAGTTACCCATAATTTTGCAGTACTTCCGGCGAAGGTTTTAAAAACCATCACTATCTAGCAGGTACACGTGTTACCATGAGGCTCTTCGAGCTCGCTATTATAAGCAGGCAGCGAATGTTTTTTTATATTATAATGTCAACGCATTAACTCTCATATAAAATATGAAAAATGTTTATCTTGCTTTTCTAGTGAGCAGAAGTCACTGTCAGAGTACTACGACCCGGCTTGACAAGATGAGGATACGATTGGAACCAGCTCTTGAAGATAATTACATGTATCTACTGATAGATGATGAAACAAAACAATGTGCAGTAGTGGACCCTGTGGAACCAGAAAAGGTTCTCTCTCTTTTCAGAATTAAAGTCCAAAGATTTAAATTTTATGTGGCCTTCAGTTTTAAGATAATGAAAGTGTTTTTATGGTTTACTTTCTTCAAAAACCATGTGTTTGCCAATTTCTTTGTATTGGCATTTATTGACTGGCTTTACTGTGTTTATTGAAGTTACAAGAATTCGAAATTTTTCAAAAGACAAGAAAGACTTTGTAGATATCATGTGATTGTATCTCTGGTGCGCTGAGGTACATTTTGTATAACATTGGCACAAGACATAGAGATGTGAATTACCCAGGCAGTATGTTCAACTTATACATGAATGACCTTATAACCCAGTTAAGAGAAATGTTTAACCATATATTTATGATGACTGATACACCAGATAAACATATTTACTTTTTACAGACAACTTGCTTGTAGGATTTGATGGGGGGGGGGGGGGCCGGTCCCGTGGCCGAGTGGTTAAGGTCGTTGACTTGAGATCACAGGTCCCTCACCACTGTGGGTTTGAATCCCTACAGGGACTTTGGATTCTTTCATGTGAGGAAGCTATC